TAAACTAAGTCCCCCGGCTGGCGGCCATCTTGGATGATGGATCGGCTACAAAGTAACAACACTTGGTCAGCACCTCATAAGGAACATTCATGCCATGTTTGGTTTCATTCCATTCAGTGGTTCTCTAAAAGAAGACATTTGTATGTATTTCCCATAGGGTCCTATGTTAAACTAAGTTCCCCGATGGCGGCTATTTTGGATGATGGATCGGCTACAAAGTAACAACACATGGTCAGCACCTCATAAGGAACATTCATGCCATGTTTGGTTTCATTCCATTCAGTGGTTCTCTAAAAGAAGTCATTTGTATGCATTTCCCAAAGGGTCCTATGTTAAACTAAGTCCCCAGCTGGCGGCCATCTTGGATGATGGATCGGCTACAAAGTAACAACACTTGGTCAGCACCTCATAAGGAACATTCATGCAATATTTGGTTTTATTCCATTCAGTGGTTCTCTAGAAGAAGTTCAAAATGTAAAAAGTTAAAGCCGACGCCGGACGACGATGGACGACGGACGCCAAGTGATGAGAAAAGCTCACTTGGCCCTTCGGGCCAGGTGAGCTAAAAAATGAGTTATCACCCTTTGTACAGAATTATGGTTTAACATAGTACTCTAACATAAGATATGGTCCAGAGTTATGGTCCATGGTCCATAACTCTGAACTAAATCATCAGACCGGAACAAAATTCGAACTTGATCTATAACTTGTCATGATAAAACTATATACCAAATATCAAATCAATATCTTCAAAAACGAAGAAAAAAAGTGTGGAAAGCTGATTTGCGGGACTGATGGATGGACAGACGGACAGATGGACAGACGGACAAACGGATGGAGTGCAAACCTAAAGTCCCCTTCGACTTTGACGGTAGGGGACTAAAAAGAGCGGAAAACTGAATATTTGAGTGAATTTTCTAAGTCCAAGGACCATAACTCTGCACAAAATTATCAGACCAAACAAAATTAGAACTTGATCTGTAACTTGTCATGATAAAACAATATACCAAATATCAAATCAATATCTTCAAGCACGAAGAAAAAAAGTGTGGAAAACTGATTTGTAGGGGACTAATTACAAAAGTACCTACCAGTAACTAGAATAGTTATAGTTGACTATATATTGAAAAGCTATTCCTTTTGTTATCAATTCGCCTGTTCAGAATCTCTAGTATTGTAAATAATTTCACTCTACGAAGCTCAAAATGAAAATAACGTCACATATTGGTTGATTTTTTCATTGTTTGGGACATTGTTAGCCAGTCACAATGCTTTGATGTATGCTATTGTCAATATTAACCAGAATGAATGACGATTCTGATTCAGCAAATTAGAAGAATGGAAATTCAGAAATATTGAATGAAACACAATATGTTCATGTTATTATAATATAAATAAATGGGGAATGTGTCCATGGGACACATATCATGCCCCTGCTTGCATATAACATTATAAAGGGACATAACTTAAGAACAGTAAAAGTAATGCAACCCAAATTTGTACTTGATCTGAGTTTTGTGGTAAAAAGCACTGTGAATAAGTTTCATAACATTTGGTAGAGGCAAACTTAAGGTAGAGAACAGCAACGAAAAATTCAGCAATTTTTCCATTTCTTAAAGGGGCATAACTCAAGAACGGTAAAAGTGACGACACCAAAATTCAAACTTGATCCGTGTTTTGTGGTTAAGCATTGTGTATAAGATTCATAGCAGTTGGTTGAGGCAAACTTAAGTTAGAGAATGGAAACGATAAAAATTCAGCAATTTTTCCATTTGTAAAGGGGCATAACTATAGAAAGGTAAAAGTGATGCCACCCAAATTCAAAATTGATCTGTGTTTTGTGGTAATAAGCATTTTGTATAAGTTTTCATAACATTTGGTTGAGGCAAACTAAAGTTAGAGAACAGAAACCAATTTTTGGACGTAGACGGACAAGGGTAAAACTTAATGCCCCCTCCGCTATGGTGGGGGCATAAAAAAGTTGGGAATAAGGTCAAAGGTCATCTCCAATGATGTATAATACATTGTCTTGAGGTGATGGCAAATATTGTTTGAAAAAGGTTTCAGCCTGGAAGTGATGATGTCACATAAATATCAATTTGTCCTAGAGGTCACTGGTCATGATTGCTGCAATATAGCTTTTTTGTGTTGACACAGAGTAAAGCAAACATCAATCAATCAATCATTCAATGGTCATGCTCAATTATATGCAAATCATTGTCTTGAGGTGGTGTATTCACATGTAGAAGAAAAAGAATTAAAGGTGAAATGATATGTCTCTATTTATTGAAATGGATAACATACTGTAAATTCAGAAATTATTGCGATGTTTTTATTAATGCGAATAATGCGACTAGATGAGTATCGCAATAATAAGAACTCGCATTTTGATAACTAAAACATAGATCTGTATGTAGATTTTTCTGAAATCGCAATAATTAAACTCGCATTTTTGTCAATTTTTGAAAAATCGCAATAATAAATGCACGCAATAATTTCTGAATTTACAGTAATAAAAATCACGGATATTTTATTCAGTTTTCCAATCTTGGTTTATTCATTTGAACTTACTGATGACAATACTTTTGATATTTTGATTAAATAAATAAAACTGAAACAATTTTTACCTGAATTAATGAAAGTTTCACTGAAGACTTGCATGTTAATCCACAGTGAAGCCAATTTAAATAACAAAGTTGTCACGCATGACTTACTCAAACCAAAACTTTAACCTGATTAGTGAACTGTGAAATCTAGGTCAAATATCTTAAAACATTTTGTCACATCATTAAAAACATGTGTACTGTTTCAAGTAGATGTGTCGACAATTTCATGATATTCTACGTTAAACCAAAACTTTATCAAGATATGGTAGGTAGAGAATAATGAGAGTGCCGTGTGAGCACAGAAGAGTATATATTGCATTCATTTTGTAGTGGGAAAATAAACATTGTATTGTATTAAGGATTGGAAGGCAATACTATGAATTGGAGAGATCTTCCTTTGTCCATAATTGTTGCTTGTTTAACAACAATTATGGACAAAGGAAGATAACTCCATTTAAAATATTACTTTAACAGTGATTAAGAACAGACAGATTCATGCACAACTTATGTTATTTTTCTCGACAAATATGATTTTACACGAATACATCATTTTGTAACTAGAATAACTGAGCATATAGCTCATTGATTAATCTCTTTAAATCTGCATGGATAGGATTATATACTGTTTTTTGCTCTCAAAAAGGTCCTGAATCGATCAAGCAAGTCAGATAAGGGTTTTGATTGCATGAATGCAATCTTTACCCTTAAAAAAAAAGATTTTGTCCAAGTTTGGCTGATATTCCACAATAGGATTATTTAGGATATTTTTCAAATTTTACCAAACTCTAACCTATTCAAGGCTACTATTTTGCATGATAGGCAGAGGTATTTGGATATAATTTTGCAACTGACCCATTATAGACTTTTTTTACAATTCTTTATTGAAATTTTAAGAACTTTTTCAATAAACTATGATCACTCGCTTGCCAAAAGGGAAAATTGCAACAGAAGGTTTCTTTATAGGATTAGTTTCAGGGAAAATGTCTTTTTAAAGTGGAAACACTGTTTTCCTCATGGGGCTAGAGGAGTTATAAAACTAATATTATTACCATTAGAAAATTTTATTCATATTGATAGAATATACACTAAAATAGATGTTTTAATTGCAAGATACAACTTAGTGTGGATTTTACAAAATTCTTGTATAATTTCTTAAATGAATACTAATAAAGTTGTTAACTAGAAATAACAGAAAACTAGACATTTACTGTAAATTCAGAAATTTTTGTAATGTTTTTATTGCAAAAATTGTGATGAGACCAAGGGCCAGGAAACAGTCATATTTGCCAGTCACATCATAAACTGAAAGCTATTTGTCCTAAATGGCAGATTGGGATTTAGGACAAATTCATTTTTTTTACAGAAATAATTTCGTTCATTTCATCGAGATCAGGTTTCTTTATCACCATTTTGCACTTGTTTTAGTTTTGCAATCCTTTTCCTGTAATAAAACTGCCTCTTCAGTATAGTATGATAATCCTGAGAGCCCTCCTAGTAACCATATCAATTTAATGCCTCCCGGAAATATTGGCTTATGATCGCTAATCACTTTTTACCTGTGTTTTTATTTCACACCGACAGTGATCACAAGCTCAGAACTAATATTATTAAGAAATTAAAATTCCTTGACAACTGTCTTCATTAATTAATTACTTTTCAGGAAAGACAATCGACAATTCTGATTTAATTTACGTTAAAGAAGTTACTTTTCACGAGTCAAATGTGTGCTTTATTTACTATGTAATACGCATACATGAAATTGTCTTTACCAGGTTACCCACTTAATTGTAAAATGCAAAACAATTTCATGCTAAATTAAACAAATACAACTATTACCTGTAATATTCAAACATTTAAAGCACATTTAAAGGTAATAAAATTTAAAATCCCGTGATTTCCTGTCAATTTGAGTAACAGAACCAATCCAGGAATTACTCGTACTTTAGTATTGTCATGAAAATTACGGCTTTAATGTTCGTCTTCAAAATCGAAAGAAATGTCAGCAATGTCTGAGAAATTTACCATTCTGAGTCATTTAAATCATTTCAATTTTAAACTGTTGCATTCCATAAACTGTTCTTAGACGTTTTTAGAAAAACGGTATGAAAATTCATAAAGGTAAATGCGACGAAACAGTCAACTTAAGTTCTTTGATTATAAATCTAGTGTGAATAATTTCAACAGTTTATATTAGTATGCAGCAATTTCTAATATCGTCATAATTAAACTCTCATTTGTGTTGATTGTCCAACAATTGCAATAATAGATACACACTCATTACTTGATTTACAGTAAGCATATTTAAATAATTCTCATAAAAATACTTTTTGTTTTTGATTATTTATTTTAATAAAAATCACTGTTTCAATAATACCATTAAAAATGAAAACTTACCTTATCTTTTTCTTCTGTATCTTTCTTTTCATCTTCATCATCGTCCTGTTGAATGATTAAAAGTAATATTATTTACACAATGTGTCAAGATAAAAATACTTATGTTTTTTTTTAAATATCAAGGAAAATATATTTAGCTCTGTGTCAAAATATCTCCACAAAGATGCTTCTGAGCAAACAATGTTCAGTACATTTACTTGTCAATATTTATCAACTTTGTAAACAAAAAATTTTTCTATAATGTAATCAAAATTTTACTTTCTAAGCATATATATTCCATTATTTATATGGCTACAAATAATTTCATCACAAATCACTTGCTGTGTCAAAATTAGGAAAGTTCATTGATTTTCACACATAATATACAATTTTGAAATATAGCAGTACCCACATGTTTAATCAATGTGTTCATTTCTTGAATTTTTTTCCCTTCTAATCTAAGAAGACAACACAGAAATAAACAGCTAATCTTTCCCAAATATTCATCACCAATTACAAGATGAGTGTGCATGTGCTTTACCTCAGAAGGTTTACTTTTAATCAAAATTATTTTGTTTAAAATTGTCCCATCACAAGTCCTAATGATAATTTGCACCTAGAACAATTGTTTAATTAAACATAGCAATTTAATGGTCATTGCCTGATAGCATCTCAAAAGATTCAAGACATTGGAAAATTATTTGTAAAGGCTAATTTTCCAATGTCATGAACATTTAAGATGCTATCAGGCAAAATGTAACAAAACATATAGGAACATAAAATTAGCGAAATCATCCAGTCATGTCAGAAATTTGACATGTTTTGCCCTCTTTCTATTGCACTCCATTAATGAAAAGACTGAATTTTTCTACATTCCACAGCAGTCCATCTGTGAACCATTGAATTTTTTACTCTTGCAAGATATCCCTATTCTTCAGTATGGAATATAGTTTTCTATATTCTTGTGGATCTTTTTTTCTCAGTTAAGTCATTTTCCTTATTAGCTTGTAAAGTTTGATAGGTTGAACAAGCTTCAATATCTCCGATATATATATTCCATTATCTTTCTATTTCCTTATAAAAATACAGTGCATAAAGTGGAACTTGCTGTCCGAGATTTATTTTAATGGCACTGTTTTTGGAACAACCATCTAATTATTCAATCATGCATATACAATAAAAGACACTTTTAACATATTGCTTACAAGGACTGTAAGTGACGAATCCTGTAAATACTTTATATCCCTGAATAAGTTTTATTAACAGTACACATTACACATACCTTACTAGGGTCGTAAGTGACAATTCCTGTTGATCTACGTTCTCGTCTATTACGACGAGCACGTACATGAGAGGGTTCTTTCTTTTCATCTTTATCATCACCTGAAACAAAAGATATTTTTATAGTCTAACTATTTATTCTTCTATCAAAGCATACAAAGATGTGCAATTAGAATTGTAGATTTCAATAGTAAAATGTAGATATTCAATATCTTTTTAAGAAACATATGATTATCTTAACACTCTGTCAGTAACATCAATTACAATATATAATCAACAGCACTGATGGGGGAAAGTTTTCTTTGACTGGACATTGTGAACCTAATGATATTTCTTCCCTCTGTTCATTATTGTAAGTTTATCAAATAGCTTCATAACTCATACTTTACTTTCTAGAACTTGTGTAACTTTTACTTGATTGCTTATTTTATTATAACAAGTACAGTTAAATATACACAGATACATCAATTTGTAAATTGAATATCCGAGTATAATTTATTAAAAAATTGCTTGACATGAGCATCGATAAGATCTTAGAGTATTCAATTCACTGCACTTTGCTGTGTGCACACAGAAAAACAACAACAAACAAGAATGTGTCCATAGTACAAGGATGCCCCACTCGCACTATCATTTTCTATGTTCAGTGGACCATGATATTGGGGTCAAAACTCTAATTTGGCATTAAAAGTAGAAAGATCATATCATAGGAAACATGTGTTCTAAGTTTCAAGTTGATTGGACTTCAACTTCATCAAAAACTACCTTGACAGACGGACGAATGGACGGACGAACTGGTGCACAGACTGAAAAACATAATGCCCCTCTACTATCGTAGGTGGGGCATAAAAACCCGTTGAGAAGACGGCTGAAATTTAGCTAGCAACTTCAGAGATTCAGTTACACTTTGTGAAATCTTTACCCCTCCAAAACTTTAAATAAAATTGGAATATGTTCAGCACCTTATAGATGGTATAAATTTCTTCTGTTCTGTCTATATCTGAATGTTTTTTTTTGGCCAAAAAGTCTGTATGTTATCCACTGAAAAGCCATAAGATGACTGACCTGTAGATGATAATTCTTCAAACCATAAATTGTTGGCTTGTGTCTCAGCAATGATTACAACTTTCTTTATCATTCATTTGAATACAAGAATGGAGTTGATTCTTAATCTTTTAGCGCTTCCTGCTGTAGTAGATAATACTAATGATACTAACCTTTGGAATCTTTTTTAGAATCTGTGTCATCTTGGTCCTCCGCATGTAACCGTGACGATCGTAATGAAGCAGATCTACGAATTTCTGAACTACCTAGACTAGATTTATTATCTATAGATGTGGACAATGCATTTCTTTCCCTGCGAGGTACATATGCTATAATAGAAAAGAAAAGTACCGATTTCATATAATATTTTCAGATGTGAACAAAGCATTTCTAACGCGGTGGGGTTATATACGAGAAAAAAATTAATGGAGAATGTGTCCCCATGGACACACATGATGCCCCCACTTGCATACAACATTATAAAGGGACATAACTCAAGAACGATAACAGTGACACTACCCAAATTTGTACTTCATCTGAGTTTTAAGGTAATAAGCATTGTGTATAGGTTTCATAATGTTTGGTTGGGGCAAACTTAAGTTACAGAACGGAAACTAAGAAATTTGCAATTTTTCGATATATAAAGGGGCATAACTCGATAATGATTAAAGAGACGCTAACAAAATTCAACTTGATCTGTGTTTTGTGGTAAAAAGCGTTGTGTATAAGTTTCATAACATTTGGTTGAGGCAACTTAAGTTCGTGTACGGAAACTAAAAATTTTCATTTTTTTCCATTTATAAAGGGGCATAACTCAAGAATGGTTAAAGTGACCCTACCAAAATTCAAACTTGATCTTTATTTTGTGGTAATAAGCATTGTGTATATGTTTCATAAAATTTGGTCGAGGCAAACAAAAGTTAGAGAACGGAAACCAATTTTGGGACAAACGTACAGACAAGGGTAAAACTTAATGCCCCCACTGCTACGGCGGGGGCATAAAAATTTCCAGAACTACCAACATATAGGAATTAGAATTGAGAATGGAAACAGGGAATGTGTCAAAGAGACAACAGCCCAAGGCCACCAATGGGTCTTCAATGCAGCAAGAAAATCACGCACCTGAAGCCTTTTTTCCTACAGGAACATTTGAAACTGCTTAGTTTTCACAGGATGAAATGGACACTTCTGTAATTTGTTTCAATATTCAAATAAAGTCAAATATACTTTAAGATATCAAATTCAAAATCACACACAAACAAATTGTTGATTGACCAACTGCTGAAATTTTTTAATCATTTATTCTTTTGATGTTTCATTTTAAAAGGAAGCAGGCTAACTAAAGAGTTTCAGCATGTCTATAATGCTGAATATTCAAATAATTCCTCCATGCAAGAATTGCTATTATGGTGAATATGTAGTCTCTAATTGTAATTTACAAAACATTGAAAAATTCTCCAGAAATATTATTCTGGTTAGTCTACCTGAAGTTGTATCTGTAGAATAAATACTGGAATCTTTGGAATCTCTAGATCTTCTAAAACTACTTCGTGTATCATCCTATAACAAACAATCACATATTCAAATTATAATTTACCACTAAATTCACATGCATGCCACTCTAGCTTCATTGTGTGGAAAGTGTTCTCAATGTTTATCATTTAAAATAATAAGCAAGCACTCAGTTCATATAGTTCTTGTTGATATGTCTGGTTTTGAATATGCATGAAATATAAGTAAGCAAAACAAACTCTATTTTTGTAACCTTACATTAAATTAATACAAGTATATATGTGTAAGAATTCAATCTTACATTGAATTAATACAAGTATATATATGTAAGAATTCAATCTTACATTAAATGAATACACGTTTATTAAGTGAGAGTTTATACGAACAAACAAACAAACAAATATTTTATATATATATATATATGTAAGAACTCAATGATGACAAGTTCAATTTAATTCTGTTTTTATTCAGGAATGAAAGTTGAAGTTCCTGTACCTAGAAGTTGTTAAACTAAAGAAAAGTTAAGTTAGCAATAGTTTGACTCTAATAACATTCTGTGAAATGAATGATCAAAGGGACAAAACACTAGAATAACATCTGGAATAGGATGCCAGTTACAGGATACAAGTCCAGTACCCACCAATGAAGTCACTTAATAAATCTACCATCTTAGCTTTTAAATGGGATATTGTACTAAAATGAAAATTAAAGAGTATTAATTAAACTTTCAACTTCTGTTCAATTTTATGTGAATCAGAAATGAATATGGTGGATGATTGTCACAGTAAATGGTTCAAATTTTATTTTCGATTTTAACAAGGAAGAGAACAAAATGACCATAATAATTCACAATATAGTGTTGCTCTCTTAAATGCCAGACATGACCCTTTATGGATTCCCCAAGAAATCTTCAAGGGGGCTGCTAGTATGAGAAATTTGGCAGTCAAATATAGGAAATAATAAATGGGGAATGTGTCCATGGGACACAGATGATGCCCCCGCTTGCATATAATGTTATAAAGGGATAGAACTCAAGAACTGTAAAAGTGACGCTACCCAAATTTGTACTTGATCTGAGTTTTGTGGTAATAAGCATTGTGTATACGTTTCATAACATTTGGTTGAGGCAAACTAAAGTAAGAGAACAGAAACGAAAAATTCAGCAGTTTTTCCATTTGTAGAGGGGCATAACAAGAACGGCAATAGTGACGCCACCAAAATTTAAACTTGATCTGTGTTTTGTGGTTATAAGCATTGTGTATAAGTTTCATAACATTTGGTTCAGGCAAACTAAAGTTAGAGAACGGAAACGAAAACTTCAGCAGTTTTTCCATTTGTAGAGGGGCATAACAAGAACGGCAAAAGTGACGCCACCAAAATTTAAATTTGATCTGTATTTTGTGGTTATAAGCATTGTGTATAAGTTTCATAACATTTGGTTAAGGCAAACTAAAGTTAAAGAACGGAAATGAAAAATTCAGCAATTTTTCCATTTATAACGGAGCATTACACTAGAACGGTAAAAGTGACGCCACAAAAATTCAAATTTGATCTGTGTTTTGTGGTAATTAGCATTGTGTATAAGTTTCATAAAATTTGGTTGAGGCAAACTAAGTTAGAGAACAGAAACAAAAAATTTAGCAATTTTTCCATTTATAAAGGGGCATAACTCTAGAACAGTTAAAGTGATGCCACCAAAATTCAAACTTGATCTGTGTTTTGTGGTAATAAGCATTGTGTATAAGTTTCATAACATTTGGTAGAGGCAAACTAAAGTTAGAGAAGGGAAACCAATTTTGGGACATCCGTACATCCGTACAGATGGACAAGGGTAAAACTTAATGCCCCCTCTGCTACGGTGGGGGCCTTGAACTAGTGAGGGAAATAATAACAAGTTTATTTTTAATAGGTAAAATTAATCATAATCCAAGATCTTTCCTAAGATATCTTTAAGGGGATATATTATTGATGAATCTCATGTGACATTGCCAGACACACATTTATGTGACATTACATGCCAGACACACCCTTATGTGACATTACCAGACACACACTAACTCTAATTTTATCTTATTTTATCTTAACAAATTTCATACACAAAGCCATTTAACCACAAAAAATAGTCTTCCTGAGAAAATTCCTTTTTACACATTGAATAACTTACATCTGTTCTGAAACGTCGCCTAACGGATTCTGGTTGTTCTATACTTGTCGACTCTATATTAGAAGTTCTACTTTCACTTAAAACATTGTTTGTTTTTTCACTAGATTTTGTATCACTTGGTTTTGTGTCTGATGAGTGTAATACTTCTTCTGCCTTCTGTATATCTTCTAATGTGACGCCCTGAAAATGAAATTTATATTTGTTTTTAAATTCCTATATAGTATTATTTCTTTTTATCAAGTAGATGCAAAATTCTGCTGACTAGTCGATACCTGTGAGCATGTAAACAAAATCTGCCGATAAAATAGGTAGAGAGTTTATAGGTAAAGCATGTTTTATAAATCAAATTATATAAGAATAGGACTTAGGACTGTTCCAGAAAATACTATGTGCCCCCAAAGGAAGGCAATTTTTTTTTTTTATTTTTTTATTTTATGTGGGTGGTTGTATTTGAAATACCAAAATGCAAAGGGAGTGTTGTCCTAATTTTTTTTTTCTGTGGGTGGTGGGGGTTAAAACTAGAGGCTCTCAAGAGCCTGTGTCGCTCACCTGTATTTACTGATGCTTTGGAAATCATGTAAAATAAGGTTAAAATCATAATTAATAGTATTAGATATTAGATATTATAATGATATCTAAGATAATAACAAAACACTGCAAAATTTTTGTAAAATTACTAACTCAGGGGCAGCAACCCAACAACGGGTTGTCGGATTCGTCTGAAAATTTCAGGGCAGATAAATCTAAATCTGATGAACATTTTTGCCACCTTTCAGATTTGCTCTAAATGCTTAAGTTTCAGAGATATAAACCAAAAACTGCATTTTACCCCTATGTTCTATTTTTAACCAAGTCGCCCATGATGGTTGTAAGGCGGGGTCATCGGACAAATTTTTTAAACTAGATACCCTAATAATGATTATGGCCAAGTATGGTTAAATTAATTTGTCTCAGTAGTTTCAGAGAAGAAGATTTTTGTAAAAGATTACAAAAATTTACAAAAAAATTGTTAAAAATTGACAATTAAGGGCAATAACTCCTAAAGGGGTCAACTGACAATTTTGGTCATGACAACTTATTTGTAGATCTTACTTTGCTGAACATTATTGCTGTTTACAGTTTATCTCTATCTATAATAATATTCAAGATCATAACCAAAAACTGCAAAATTTTCTTAAAATTACCAATTCAGGAGCAGCAACCCAACAACAGGATGTCAGATTTGTCTGAAAATTTCAGGGCAGATAGATCTTGACCTGATAATCAGTTTTACCATATGTCAGATTTACTCTAAATGCTTTGGTTTCAGAGATATAAGCCAAAATCTACATTTTACCCCTATGTTCTATTTTTAGCCATGGTGGCCATCTTGGTTGGTTGGCGGGGTCATCGGACATATTTTTCAAACTAGATACCCTAATGATGATTGTGGCCAAGTTTGGTTAAATTTGGCCCAGTGGTTTCAGAGGAGAAGATTTTTGTAAAAAGCTAACGACGACGGAACGACGGACGCCAAGTGATGAGAAAAGCTCACTTGGCCCTTTGGGCCAGGTGAGCTAAAAAAGTGCCGTCCCGGGAGGGGGGGGGAGCATAGTATTTTCTGGAACAGCCCTTATATCAAGTATAATTGAATATTTAATTGTAGTTGGTCATGTATACAAGCCCTTGGTTAAGTATGTTTTATAGTCATGTCTGTATTTGGTTTACATTACATACCATATTTAAAGGATATGATACTAGAGCTCTAAGACATGCCACTTTAATCATTGGAAATGCATTTTTTTTCATGTTCAGTCAAGCATTAAAAGTAATATTGTTAAATCTTGCTTAAGACATATTTGTAAATTTTGCACTGCACTGATATAAAAGTAGACTTTCAATAACATTTTTAGGGAGTTTTTGTCTAATCTGTATACCTGTGTAGACCTTCTGGTCTCCCTAGCTCTCTTTGCCCTAGCCTTTCTTTGAGTCTCAGCTTCCTCGTCTCTGCTTGGTATTTGATATGATCTGTAAAAGTTCAAGGTCATGTTGATAAAAAAAAGCTTTCACAATTCTTTCTATTACAAGCCTCACTCTAATTTATTAGTAAGGAATTACAAAACCTAAGTTCCTCTGAGAGCAAGGGTAAAATAAGAAACATGTGTTTGTGTGGTTTCCATATCAATTGTGGTAAACTAACTTTCAGCGGGGTACATACCAAACAGTACATTATGTTTTCAGCAGAATTAATTCTTTTTTAATTACATAATTTGTTGAAAGTCAAGGACAAAATATGTGAAATTATCTCCTAAAACGATTGCAAAAATTGCTACGGGATAGATGTTGCAAAAAGTTAAAACTTGCATTTCAATTTTGATAGCACTATTTGTATGCAACATTTCATGAAATCACAAAAATGTATCTCAGTTTTTTGCACATTGTTCAACAATCACAATAATAAACATACCCCGAAATTTCTGAATTAACAGTACTTTTTTTATTTGATAATTAGTACCCTCTAAAATCAACTGACGCCAATTAAAACACATTCACTGTTTGCTACTTTTAATGAAAGATGATTTGTAACATCTTTCAATTTTGTTCTTTTCTAACAACTACACATTTCAAGTTTCACTGCACATCGGGGAAAAACGTCAAACACTAAATCATTCATGCAAATCTGATTTTTAGTATTTTCAAACATATTCAAATTAATTAAAAGGTATTGCTTCTAAATAAATAGATTTTACTTCACATAATTTAGTATCAACTGTTGAGATGAAATGTATCTTCATGCAATGAATTTTTTTTCTAATGGAATCTGACATTTATTTTTGATGTTGAAACTAATTACGAATGATATTATGAATATGTTGTTATATAATGATGAAACAACAAACCTTCTGAACATTGAGTTAGTACCAAATGTGGGACATGAAGCGATAGACATGACTGAGCCGCCATGAGTGGAGACAGTAGTCGTTGCTGTGGTTACAGATGATAACGTTGCTGACACTGATGTTGCAGTACTATTTGTAGGTTGTGTAGTTGTGGATTCCATGATTTTGGCTTCTCGTTCTTTTTCCCGTCGTTCATTTTGCTCCTGCTGCCTGCGATAGTAGGGGACATAAGCAGACTGATAAGAGCTACGATATGGATTGTTGATGCTTCGACTGTATGCAGAGATCCTGTAGGATGTAAACATGCACAAGTTTATCATGCAAGGCAGGAATACTACACAGCACACATAACAAGCAATCATACAGTTATAAGTAGTCCACCTCTCACTTTAGACAGGGATGGATAGAAGGGCTCCCCTTATGGAAGAAAATTTGTGTTATTTCTTTTAGAACATGTTTTCTGATATTTACCGATGACCCTCTTTTTTTTCAGTGGACACTTTTGATAATCTAGGACAACAGACTAATCTTTATAAAACATTGTCTTCATAATTTACCTTTAACCTTATATCAAAGGTCAATCAAAATTCTTATAAATCTTTAAAATTGATGTACTGATGTCAATTCAAAACTGTGAAAACTGAAAAAGGTATTTTATGCTACATCATTAAAAGTAGCATTATTGTGTGTATTTCATTTGTTACTGCCACAGTAAGGTCCAAGTCTATTTAAAAAGAAAACTAAGGATGGATGTGGAAGATGGACTACATTTGTAACATAGTAATCAAGAAAATGTCGCACTCAATTGTAATCATTTCAAAAGCTGTATACTATCTACAATCCTATATGAAGTAACATCACTGGAAGATCTATAGATCACAGACAGAGAATGTATTCCAAATGAGAATAAACATTCCATAGTAGTTATTAAAAGCCAACTATAGCAAAGTATAATATATCTCAAGTTTCCAGTCTAGTAATTTTAGGCATTTTACCATTTGATTAGATTATTGCAATATTCTTCAGAATTTGTGTTCATTATATTGAAATAAGTGTGTCACAAGCTTTGTACACAAGCAAGTTTTGAAGAATTGTCATACTGTGGATCCATTACTATTCGTGGGGTACCAATTTTCTTATTTTGTGGGTATAGATAGGGAAACCATGAATTCAAATGTTCAATGAAATATATAAACTGACTATAGGCTTGTTTACAAACTTTGTGCAAAACCACTAAATCAAAGTTCCAGGAAAATACCATTTTTCCTCAACGAAAATTGGTACCCACGAAAATAAAAAATAAATGAATCCACGATAAGTTGAACAATAAATTTTTAGTGTATTTACATTTTGCATGAATAAGAAATCTAATTATGAAGAAATAAGATAAGACAAAAATCTGCCACTTTCTGAAAAAGCAGAATAAAGTTCATAAATCCAGAAAATATAAAGTAAGATTGCAAGGAAAATGGAAAGCAGTAGGTCCCTGCAATGAAAATGTGAATACACACAAAACAGAATTTTATATGGGTCTGAAAATATGAATTCTTGCCCAAAAGGATATTTTATATGGGTCAGATAATGTTTATAGAAACAAAACAAGTTTTTTTTATGCTTCTAGGATGTATAAAGGGACTATATTCAGTTTTAAAATGGAAGAAAAATTCACATGCATATTTATATATAACAAATTGGTTTTCCTGATCTTTTGCAAATGTACACAATAATCTTGTCAAATTTAAATAAATGTTACCATATTCATCTGAATATTTATGAACAAATCACAACTTTTAGGAAAACTGTAATCTTGTCAAATAAGATATTCTAAAATAATGTTTTTTTGTAACATCTTTCAGAACAGATGTGTAAACAAAATGTTTATCATTACAAAAAACACTCACTAACTGTAATTAAGAAATTCCAGCTGTTTCATTAGAAGTGTGATTTTCATATCTCCAACAAATTCTCAAGTGGTTTTACTAGAAACAATTAAAAGTTAATTTTGTCAAAAAGAGCGCACACAGTGGGATGTCTTGCCTGCTTCACAAAACTTAACTTTGATCACTGATCCGTTAGATGAGGTGAAGGACATGTATATCTTACAATCATTCCATATACCAAATATAGTTAGACCTATTGTTTATAGTATCTAAGAAACGGACACCAAACCACAATAAAGAGCTGCGCTATGAGTCCATGATACGCCCATCGCTTTTTCAACAGATAAAGTTCCATAACTCCTCAATGTCATATCAGAAATTTATAAAAATAAAATGCTCCGCTTGGGCGTAGCTTGATACGACCTCAGAGGTCGAACCCTGAACAGTTGGGGCAAGTATGGACACAACATTCAAGCTTGATACAGCACTGAATTTGGATTGTAATTAAATATTTGACACAGCATAGGTTTCTGACACAGAATGAATGTGGTCTAAGAACTTAAAAAATTTTAATTAACCTATTCAAACCATATCACTATTATTTGCTTTTATATATAAATCAGAAATAACCAATTTAAAATGGAAAATTTTAGAGAAAAAAAAGGAAAAAAAAATCCCATCCCCCAAAATTTTTGAAACCCCTTATGATTCATCACCCCCAAACTCAATCCCAGCCTTCCCTTTGTGGTATGGTACAATGTACCTTGCAGTACAATTTCAGAGAGATCCATACACTTGAACACAAGTTATTGTCTGGGAACTAGAAAAATGCTTGTTTTTTGGCCCCTTTTTGGCCCCAAATTCCTAAACGTTATGGGCAATTACCCCCAAACTCAAACCCAGCTTTCCCTTTGTGATATGGAACCTTGTAGTACAATTTCATAAAGATCCATACACTTATACACAAGTTATTGTCCTGAAACTAGAAAAATGCTTGTTTTTTTGCCCCTTTATGGCCCCTAATTCCTTAAATTTTGAGGCAATTACCCCCAAAATCAATCCTAGCCTTCCCTATGTGGTATGGTACCTTGCAGTACAATTTCAGAGAGATCCATACACTTGAACACTAGTTATTGTCTGGAAACTAGAAAAATGCTTATTTTTGGCCCCTTTTTCCTAAACGTTTTGGGCAATTACCCCCAAAATCAATTCCAGCTTTCCCTTTGTGATATGGAACCTTGTAGTACCATTTCATAAAGATCCATACACTTACACACAAGTTATTGTCATGAAACTAGAAAAATGCTTGTTTTTTGCCCCTTTTTGGCCCCTAATTCCTAAAATTTGGAGGCAATTACCCCCAAAATCAATCCCAGCATTCCCTTTGTGATATGGAACCTTGTGGTACAATGTCAGAGAGATCCATACACTAACACACAAGTTATGTCTGGAAGTTACAAAAATGCTTATTTTTGGTCCCTTTTTGGCCCCTAATTCCTTAACTGTTGGTACCATTACCCCCAAAATCAATCCCCACCTTCCTTTTGTGGTATTGAACCTTATGGTAAAATTTCATAGAGATCCATTCACTTAAACTAAAGTTTCTTCGGACGACGACGAAGCACTTTTGAGTTATTATCCGAAAAACTGGAAAATCCCCCTTTTTTATGAATAAAATCCCATAACTCGGAAACCTAAAGTCTAAAATTTATAAAACACAAAAGGGAGCTTATGTCAATAGATATAAACAATTCACTAAAGTTTCATGCAAATTGGTTAAAGCGTTTTTGAGTTATTGTCCGACATGTTGACCACGGACGGACGGACAGTATACCATAATACGTCCCGTAAACGTGCGTATAAAAACTAAACATTGACAAATGTCGAATGAACCTTGAAAATGACATTAAGGTCAAATCAAACCTGCCAGACAGACATGTACAACTTGCAATAATTCCATATACCAAATATAGCTGACCTTTTGCTTATAGAATGTATAAATGGACCTAACCATGAAAACATTAACATTGAACAATGAACCATGAAAATAAGGTCTACCATATGACAGACGATCCCTGCAAATGGGCATGTACATGTTATGAGCATTCCATACACCAAATATGGTTTACCTTATGCTTACAGTATCTAAGAAACAGATTAAATCAAATAAAATATTGACAACAAACCATGAAAATGAGGTTATGGTCATGTGAACCCTACCAGATACACATGCTAAAATAACAATCATTTCGTACACTGAATATAGTTGACCTTGCATATAATATCTGAGAAACGGTCTTAACCAAGCTTAATACATTTTTGTATTATTCAAAATTATCAGTCAAAATGTGTTCTACAAGGATCACTAGTCCTTCACCTTTCATTTGATACCTAAATTACCAAAGTATAACCTACAAAGTTTGATATTTACACCTATGCATAGGAACGATTTAAAAAAAAATATGTACAACTTTCCAGTATGTTCTTTTTTAACCGGGCCAGATTTGGTGGTGTTACATCTTACAAAGTCTATCCGAATTATTTTTGCAAAGAGTAAACCCCTTTAACATGCATTCGCTAAACTATGAAAATGAGGTTAGCGACAACGGTATATGCCAGACAGAAATTTCTACAATTCAATAATTTCTCTGCAGAAATTAAAGAATAAACACCTTCTCTTATTCAATGGGATACAACTCATGCTTGTTGAAAAGTGATAAGAGTTTAACACATGAGAGTACACACATAATGGTAACATACCTGTCCAATGGTTTATGATCCTGAGTATCTGTTGTTCTGCGTAATTGAACTTTATCCTGAAAATACAAAATTTACAATATGAGACACAATAAAAGTTTGCTATTGAAGCTGTATGTTTCATATTATAATGTATAATAGAGTGTGGCTGATAGTGTAGACAGTATTCCTAAAGAACAGAAAGAATCCGAAAAACAAGCATTATCTGTGTCTGTTACTTGACTAATTAGAGCTCTTTTCCTAATGCTTGTAGTTTAAAGGTTTGGTTGACTTGCTTGCTTTGTTTGTATAAATGTTTGCTTAAGCATTGTAATTAACATTGAGATCTGCAATCAATAGATAGGCGGGGCTTCAGCTTGCTTAACATCCAATAACATTTAAGTACAATGTATACAAGCTGAAGCCCCACCTATCTATTGATTGCAGATGTCAATCTTAATTACAATGCTTGAGCAAACATTTATACAAACAAAGCAAGCAAGTCAACCAAAACTTTAAACTACAAGCATTTAGAAAAGAGCTCTAAGTTTGTCTTTTTTTCAAAATTCACTGTGATCTTGATTTTAATAACTTGGATAAGGATCATTATCAACATCACCATTTCCACCTTTATGTTATTAAATGTAATTGGATATTCTGCATTTATCATTCTTTATCCCAAAATTAGTTAAATTCATGGAAAGATTTCATAATTACTGAAGCTATAACTTTGCATTAACCATATACCCCATCTGACTAATGCTCTCAGTGGTATAGCTAATACATAATCCACTGATTTTCCTTCTCGTTCACCTTTCAACTTTTAAGTTTTTTTTCAATCTACTCAGAAGTACTGCTCTCATAATTTGGTGAACATCACTTTCACAATTGTTTGAAGTATTTAAAATTTCAGTTTCTGATTTTTTTGCTGAAAAATGCTGTAATCAATATGCAAACTGTGCAACAGTTAACTATGTTTATTCAGAAATAACAGTGATATGTTTTCATCTAGTCAATACTGTGACTAGTTGAGAAAAATATCAACAAAACTGATATATGATTTTTATTTGTACTGAAATCAATTTAAATTGTTTTGCTATTTGTCAGTAAGACATTAGCAATATCATTTGCATATATCACATTACAAATTCAAAGTATTACTAACCTTGACTGGTATTAAAATCAAGAAGAAATTCCCAACACTGACATTTTAGAGTTCAAGTCAGGAATGACATTAAATGACTGAACTTTCAAAAAAAATTTCATTTACATAAATGAATCAATTTCTAAACTTTATCAACTTTAACTATTAAGCATTTTTTCTCTAAATCAAAAATAAAAAAAAACATATGCAGCAAAAGACACGAAAAATAAATACACAAAACACTTAAAACTTGACTAATCAAACCGCATACAGCTGTACAAGCCATGATGTTACTGCTAAAAACAACACTCACATTTTCAACTGAATTTCTTTCTACAGGAATACGAGGGCTAGATAAAGAACGAGAGAGATTTTTGTCACCCTCATCTTTGTTATTTTCTATAACCATACTGGTACTTCCTGTTTTACGTAAACCAGTTCGCCAGGACAGGATGTCTGGTTGTGGTTCTGTATCATTCTTTGATTCTGTTATGGTTGGTGTAACTATGGTGGGGACCTGTACCAACATGCAACAAAATGTACAATAAAAAACCCATGCCGGAAATCAAAACTAAACATGCATTTACACTATTTCTATTTACTTGAAAAAGAAAATGTATTCATTTTTAGGAAATTTTGTGGTTTTATTGCATTTTATACTTCAAATTTAACTGCAACAGATTTTTAAAAACAAGTCAAAAGATCAGACATTTGCTATGCAAATTTTATCCCCTTGTTTAATACCATTTCCAGAAAAATGTTGAAAGCTATTTCACCTTATATAACTTTAAAAATTACAATTTATGCTTAAAAATTCCCAGGAACATTATTCATGATTGGTGAAGGCTGAGCTGTTTCTTTTTAATTTGATTTTTATCAGATTGATACATAAAAATACGAGTTATATGACAAAACACAATGTAAAATGAGTTTAGAAAGTTGAGTGAAATGCTCTGATTATATGTAATAAATTATAATATATTTTTATTACAATTGTTTTATGACAAGCTCATTTACTGATAGAAGAGTAAAAAGTAAAATATCAAAAATACTGAACTCGGAGTAAATTACACAATGAGGATTGAGTATGCACAGGCATCAAATTGCAACTGGACTTATCAGTATCAAAATAAATGATGTATTTAAATGAATACAAAATTATACTGTAGCATACGCTTAGTTCAGACAAAGTTTGGAAGTAACTTCAGTATGAAAAAGCATTCTGAGAGTATTGCATGGCAATACATAGTCCCCTACCGGGTAAAAATTCATTATACTGGAACAAAATGCTAACTTGTTCTATAACTTGTCATGGTGTAAACAAAAAGTAAATATCATGTCAATATCTTCAAGCATGACTAAAAACAGTGTTGAAAACTGATTACATGAGTAAATTTTTCAAGTCCAAGGACCATAACTCTGCACACAATTATTAGGCAGAAACAAAAATTTGAACTTGATCTGTTACTTGTCATGAAAAAACTATATACCAATTATCAATCAATATCTTATAAGCATGAAGAAAAAAACATTAGATATGATTAATAGTTCTCTAGAATTAGATATGATGTAATACAGTGTATATCTATTTCAAATTATAATCAGATATAATTAATAGTTCCAAATATTTTTTTCTTTCATTTGTCACAAACTAATATAGATTTGTAACTTATCTATAAAATGTCAACAACTTTTATCTACACAATGTAATGTATTGAAATATATACATTAATAAAAATAGATTATTATCTAATTAAAGGATTTCTCTTCATAATTTTTTTTTGATATATACAATGTATAGCATTCAGAAAATTAGTTTATACTAAATAACAAACAAGCCTGTCAAAAAATTCTTCAAATAATTTAACAAAGAACGTCTTTTAAAAAATGAGTTATCTCCCTTTGTACAGAAATATGGTTTAACATAGTACTCTAACATTAGATATGGTCCAGAGTTATGGTCCATAACTCTGGACTAAATCATCAGACCGGAACAAAATTCGAACTTGATCTATAACTTGTCATGATAAAACTATATACCTAATATCAAATCAATATCTTCAAGAACGAAGAAAAAAAGGGTGGAAAGCTGATTTGCCAGACTGACGGATGAACAGACGGACAGATGGACAGATGGACAGACGGACAGACGGACGGAGTGCAAACCTAAAGTCCCCTTCGACTTCGTCGGTAGGGGACTAATAAGGATAGAAGTAACTCCAGTATGAGTAAGGATAGATTAGAGAAAGTGTCTGTGATTAGGCTGAATACCTTTACACTGGGAAGTGCCTGTGTCACAAGTGATATTACTGGGGTACCGAGTGACTGTGATAGGAAATTTACCAGGGTACCAAGTGGCTTAATCACAAGTGGTATTACTAGATTAATGTTCTTATGTTAGAATTGTTACCCTTGGTTGTTATACTGTGGTTTAATTTATTTTCATGGATACCAATTTTAGTAGATAGATGAAAATTGTATTTTCATGTATATTTGATCTTTTTGGGGTGGAAATCTGCATGTAATCTTGTAGAATATTTGACATTTGGTATCCCATGAATAATAATGAATCCACATTATAAAGTAAAAGTTTTTGTGATATCTTAAACCGATGCACTTAATATTAATTTGATGTGGTCGATTATTTCAAGTTCATAGAAAACCTTGTTATTTCTCCTGAATATGACAGTTAAATATTAAAACTATGTATGCAATGTGATGTTAATCCTAAATTCCTTTTTATAAGCTCGGTTTTCAATGACAGATTTCATATCTGTACAGGAAGGCTTCAACATAGCAAGAATATCATTACATTTAAAAATGCTGTATTCCTAAAAATGCACTTTCTCCGTATCAAAATTATCTTTTCCTCGATTTTGAGTTCTTAAATAAATTGATCTTAAAACCTGAAAATCATTTTTACTTCCTGTTCCCAATGTATGACTGCTACGCTAGAGCCTTTATATTACATCAAAGCGGTATCAGAAACATGGCTGAACACATTAGTTTAGCCATTTGCTCATTGTTAATTTAGACTATTTTAATTCCATAAATCTATGACTACCCCTAGCCAAATATTAGTGCATTGTTTAAAACAATTATTAATGAAACTTTTCAGCAATTAGTTATTTTCCCAATAATTAGTAATCTCAAATTGATTAGTGAGACACCTTGCCACAGTTTTGGGGCATATTGCATTTGCACCATTTGAAAAGATTCAAAATTTTCATTTAGGCCAAAAGTCAGATGTACATTAAATGCGATAAAATTTTACATTAGAGGTTAAATTTCATAATAACAGTTTAATAAAAGTGTTGCTTTAGGATATTAAAATATATAAATGTACACATGACGTCAAAGTGTTTGCAGTTACATCACCCAAACAGTGTAGGTGCTTTATTTACGTGATGATGATCCCATTTAACCTTTAAGTTGGTGCTAATGAAATATATCTTGGCACAACTAAAATTTAGAATGGCACAAATGCAAAATGCAGCAACTAGTGTCAGTTAAAAACAGAAAGGTGTACACATGCTGCTATAAACAGAACTCAACATGCGGACTACCTCTGTTGTTGATTTATTTGGAGCACTATATGTTCGGGATAAAGGCTCCTTCTCCTTTGCAGGAACGCTATTTGATCTAGAAAATTCTTTGTCTTTTCGAACAGATTTTTCATCTGGTTTTCTCTCTGTCTGCTCAGTTTCTTGTTTTTCTTTTGCCTCCTTCTCAGCATTTTCTTTTTCCTTTTAAGAATTATTTTTTATATTTTCCATAAAATTGAATGATTTTAATAGAATTTAGAATTTTAATATCGTCTTTTTGTGTGTGTTCTTTCCTATGTTACTATTCTGTTCTTTACAGTAAACCAACTTATTTTTGCTAATACATTTTTGCATATATTTATTTATCATTATTTACTTATTTTGTTGGTGTATCCATGTATAAGAAGATCTGAGATTGACATATCTGTGACAATCTTTATTTGGGTTATTTTTTACTTTAAGAGAAAAATCACTCATGAAAATAGCTTGTTTACAGCATACCAAAAATTACAAAATAAACTACAAAAACATTCAAACATTGCCTAAAATAAAGCAGCATATCAAAAGTACTTTTGATTCTATTTCTGCCAAACTTATCACAATCATGTTACAATACACAGGCCTAGAGCTATAACTACACTCACAATAAACAAATAAAAAGCAAACCTTCAGAGATTCTTTAGTTTCACTAATATCTTCAATCCTTGGTGTATCAATTTTCTTGTCAGCCTCATTTATAACATCTTCATCCTTCTTCTTCTCTTTGACAGTTTCATTTTCATTACTTTCTTCTATCTTTCCCATTTCTGGTTTCTGTATCTCCACAACAGCTGTTATTGGAGGCTTATCTCTGTCTCTTGTCTGAAAACAACAGGTAATTTAAATGTTGAACGTACAATACTGTCCTAAATCAGAACAATTTTAAACCTTGATAATAAGGTGTGGAGATTTTACCATTGTTTAAGACTGTGACTTTCAGATGATACTTTTTTTAATTTGCTTGTGACAAGCCTTGTGTTGTTTGGCTACTTTTGAATCTGCTGCACATCGAATTCCATTCATATGCCATTTTAATTCTTATGGACTCTTCAAACTTGAATAAGATGTTGCGTGTGTTGTCCTACTAAATTTACCCCACTTGTAATTCAAAGAATTGGCAAACAGGAAGTAGGTGTCTGACAGATCTAACAAGTGCTCACACTTTACAACTCATCACTGTCATGCTGCAGACCTAATAAGAAAGCATTCTGTTCAGTAAGCCCTGACAAAATTGTAATAGAAATATTTGTTGGACAAATAGAAAACAGACATGGTGATTGTAATATACCTCCACTCATGGAGTTCGAGTATAAAAACTTGTCTAGTGATCCATTCTTACTCTATACCTCTGCTGGTGGACTATCAGTCCCCGAGGGTATCATCAGCTCAGTAGTCAGTACTTTGGTACTTTCTCAAATTGTCTTTATAAATTTTGAAATTCTAAAGAAACTAAGGTTTCAACTCCCTCAGCCAAAGTTGACCTTAGATTGATTTGGCTATTTTTTATGTCCTTTTTGGTCAAAAACTCTATAACTGTTTCAGTTCTAATATATCCTTGGCTTTCAAATATTCAGCTTTGAGCCTTCCTGATGAAGGTAAATCCAGAAAAGGGCTTCGGATGCATTAAATTTATAATGTGTTGTTTTCATTTTTTACTGAAATCTATATTCTCATTCTATCCTGACAGAGAGCAAAGTCCAGTATGTAGGGCTATTTAATTATATGTATGCTTTGTGACAAAAATAATAAAGCATTACTATATACAGACAGTATTAGTTGTATTTCAAATTTGCATCATTTAAAAATAAAGAGTTTTGGGTAGATTGAAATGGCTTCAACATTATAGGTTGCACTTTGTAAATACAGCTGTTTCACAAATCACGCCTCTTTTGGGGAGATATATAATATTCACAGATATTTTGTTTGTTTACGTACTGGTTCCCCGATATGATCTCTATGTTTCATCTCATAGAGACATAACTTGGGTATGTAACCAGTATATTTACACATGGTTGCAGGGAATTTTGAATTCTGAGGGTCACCTAAAGTGAAGGTAGGGGTAGTAGAAGTACAGAACTTAAGTATAAGTTTAAACTCTTAGAAATTCGGTGCATATAAATGTTGAAAAAATGCCGCACAGCCCTATGTATGACCTTTGAATAAAATAATAGTGCATATCAACTTTCCATTCTAGGATATAATTTTTCACGAAACTTCATGGTAAAAGTGGCATAGTTTTAGCCGTAAAGGGAGTTCCTGTGGGAAATTGCATTGTCTATATTTACAGAAATGCAACCTTGAGGTGTCTTGGTAATTTTTTGGTGACATTTTAAATAGACTTTATGTAGTTTTCTAGTTTTAGTATCCATTCTTAAGCACTTGTTATTTTTCGATGAAAACGTAGAGCAAAAATTCATAAAAGAATTCAAGTCCATTAAATACAATCTAAGCCAATTCTGAGTAAAACAGAAGGTTGTCTTTTGATAGTTGGTTTACTTTTTCTTTTACTGCCATTTTATTGAAGTTTCTACAAATCAATAATGTATTTAATGTGATTTGAATCTTTTTTTTGTATGTTAACTTTTGTTCACCACTGAAAACTTATATACACAAATTTGAAAAATTGGCTTCAGATTTCTGTTAATACATGGTCCTTTATTCCATGTCCAATCATATATAAATGATTGAGTTAAGCCATTTCAATTGATATTTTATAGTGTGTTTTTCTATGTTGTGATGTTACACTAATGTTTCAGATAAGGGTGAAGGTTTGGTACCATTAAAACGTTTAGACCCGCTGCAATTGTTTGCACCTGTCCTAAGTCAGGAATCTGATGTTCAGTAGTTGTCGTTTGTTGATGTGGTTCATAAGTGTTTCTCGTTTTTTATATAGATTAGACCGTTGGTTTTCCCGTTTGAATGGTTTTACACTAGTAATTTTTGGGGCCCTTTATAGCTTGCTGTTTGGTGTGAGCCAAGGCTCCGTGTTGAAGACCGTACTATGACCTATAATGGTTTACTTTTATAAATTTTGACTTGGATGAAGGGTTGTCTCATTGGCACTCATACCACATCTTCTTATATCTATTACCTGATTTGCCTCAGTTGACTGCTTGTTCAATTCATTCTGTTTTTCTGTAACAAACATAAAACATTACATTATATTGTGGCGTGTATCATATAGACTTGTCCTATGAATGATTTTGGATTTAACATCAAGTACAATATAGGTAAAAGTCTTTTAAAAAGAAACATGTCTTCATTACTGAACTAAATGCCCATTTGAGAACAGATTGGAATCATTGACCAGATAAAGATTTCAATATATCGACAAATGTAAACTCCAATACAACTATGCATATCATCTTATTTTTTTTATATTATTATGAATTCTGTTACTTAAAATTTGAAATGTGGTAAGTCAAGATATATTCTCTTATGTGGAAAAACTAGAAGAATTAGAGCAGCTTGTGTTTTGTTTTTATTAATTTTTTTCCAAAAAATGAATATTCAAGAATTACAGTTACATTCATTAACTATTTACTATGATTTTTTTCTGTAGCACATTAGAATGAAAGAATTCTTAATTGGATTAATCAAATGTCTTTGTATAAATATATTAACATTTGTATATTTCCTTCAAATATTGACATATTGAGGATTTGTTTTTATTCATGGGGTACCAATTTTCAGAGATTTATAAATATATGTAAACCAAGAATTTGAATGCCCAACAAAGCACAAATAACTGTAGACTTGTATACTGACTTTGGTAAAACCACAAAATCAAATATCCACCTCTTTTCTCAGGTCACTACTTACCTGTGTCAGATTCCGAACTCTCTCCCTCACTTGCAGAGCTAGAAGAACTTTTAATTCCACTCAGATTAGCCTCCAGTGTGGTCCTCTCCTGCTCAACGTTCTTCAAAATAACATTCTGTTTTTGATCTACACTCATTCGGGTTACAGAACTTCTGAAACAAATTAATATATAATTTCAGTTTTACATATGTTCTGTTCTGAGGTATTATTCATACTAAAAACCTAAACTAGGTCTGACCATGACTTTTAAACAGTGCAAATATAATATGAACTATACCATACATTTTTTGTAGCGAAATAATATAGACAGAATAATGGCTGGGAAAACTATATAATCAGCTATTTATTAAATTACAACAATCATGCAGTATACATAATCTAAATAATCATTTTTTAAACTGTATATATAACATATAAAGTATATTTGTACTATTAAATCTACAAAAAAGAGAGAGATATGGCTATCTACATGTACCCTACTTTAAATTGCATGTCTAAGGATAGAACACCTTTATTATGAATATTTTAAGAACAGATCAATTTTCTATTTTCATATATATGTCCTTTTTAGACAAAAGTTTCAACAAAATTCATCTTATAAGCATAACTGCAAAAATCACAATGTTTACAAAATTTTTTCTTCTTTTTTTATATATAATAATTTGGAAATTAATTTTTGAGATGTTCAAAATTATTAATAAAGTATGAATGAACTCTTTAAACACTGTTAATGTTCATATCAAACAGAGCCAATCATTTTGTTACAATAGCATTAACATATTACAAAACTTTAGGAAGCATTACATGTAAAGCAAAATGTAAAGGACTGGGACTAAAGATACAAACTGACAATGAACTAAATATGTTAAATTTCAGAAGTCAGCCTGCATTGAAATTGATGTTCCCATTATCTTACAACTTTCTGGAATTCTATCTACAAAAGTTTTACCAGGTCGTCCAATACAGAACATTGAAAGAACCTGGACAACTTTGCCAATAGGACTAGCAAATGTGATCATGGGACTGAGATTGTTTTTGTTAACTTTTAGACAAGAGAACCATCATAGTTTAGTTCTGCAGTCAATAATAATAATCAAATTACATCAGTCAAACTGTGTTAGTACACTAGACAGTCAGGGGCATTACTTAAATAAGTAACAATTAAAATTACCTATACAAGTAATGTTGAAAACGAGGCTATTTTAAATATTACTTATATAAGTAACTTTTCTGAATATTATTTGTATAGGTGTCCAATTATACAGATTTTAGTAGCTTTAACAAATTTTCACAGTCATCTGGTTATTTTTCCCATGAAATATAAAATCTAATCCTTCTGAAACACTAATTAACTTTCTGACGCACTTATCTTTCATACTGACGCTTCTGGGTCAAAGATTGGTCTCATGGGACTATTAAATTATCATTTTCCTCCAAAATCTTGAAGGTAGACTGATATAAATAGATAGATACTTGTGAATTAATTAAGACTTGAAGTTATTTATAACTTGTAACCAAAATCAATTACATATGTTCCTTCAATAAGTGTTATTACTATTTTTTTCAAAAATGTATAAAATAACTTATTCAAGTAATATTTTTGTCATTATTTTTAAAGTAACCCTTTATCTCTATACTCCTCTCAAATCTAATAAATTCTTTATTTTATGATATAAAATGATGTAAAAATTCATGAAAACTACATTTAGTCTATGCTTCTATTGAAATTTAAAATAACTCTATTAAGTAATTTTATTATTTTTAAAAACAAAAATTACTTATATAAGTAACTTAAAAAAATAACTTGTTTAAGTAACGCCCCTGACTGCTAGATAGTTAATTCACTAAATATCATAGATACTAAAGTGAAGATGTTAGTCAAGTCAAAAATCAGATGTATATTCAAATAAGAAAATATGGTATAGAACGTTAACACCATCCAAATTGCTTAAGAAGGCCATACATATAAGCATCCTTAAAATGACCCTTAATTTTAATTCTATTTTGACATTATACTGCAGTTAACTTATTGGATACTGATTCTGAATAGATCTGACAATTGTTCTACTTAAACTTGGTATTTGTAGTGATCACATAGTTTTTTATGTGACAGATATTCATTTTAAAAATCTCAATTAATAGTAAACCTGGGTTTCTTAACAACTTACAGCAAGTGTTACTTGGGTATGGAAATGATAATACCAGGACTTCTTCCTCCAACAGGAAGTAACCATATAGAGGAGGTTGTCTAATTGGTTGTACAGAATTTATATAATGCAGTCACATCTTGGGAAATTAAATCTAAGTTCCATGTTGGGAGAGGGGCATAAATTTTGCACCTTATAGAACCCTTGTAATAACTCTTATGGGGGACCATATGTGGTCTGTTGAAAGGCATGACGTCTGCTCCTATTGCTATTCAAAGTACCCATTCTATTACTTCATCAACCAACTGAGCAGAATCTACATTTTTATTCATTGTTCAAACAGTTCACAACATGAAATATTTGTCACTGGATGTCAAGCATACCAACCTCATTCAATCTAAACTAGGTGAGGTGAGGGAATCTTATTTTGTGGATTATTTCTTCTCCAGAGGGAGTATAGTACATCCAAAATTGGTAAGAAAAATTAAATATCCAATAACAAATTTTGAAAAACATTTTGCTAATGTGACCTTCTAAAGCTACAGTATAGTATCTACATTTGTATTAAGCTTAAGTAAGGATTAGATGTACAAAAGTCTGGAGATCAGACTGTCATTGGTTTGAAGCCTAACATAAATAAACAACCAGTAACGACATACATAAGGTCAATCTCATTCCACAGCTCAAGAGCCCTAGGGTCCATGTTAACAATAGGCCCACAGTAATATATTGTTTTTTCCACTATTCAAGGACTTAGAAGATTTTTCAAGGTTTTGTTTCAGTAGCCCATGCTGCAAATGGGACAAAACAAGGATTCCAAGAACAACAAGGTAACTAATGCCATCTAACCTTCCGACATCTTCATCATCCCGATTTTTCTCGGCATGCCTATTTGATGACACAAAAAAGTATTAAATCATGCACTGATTTTATCCTTGTCAGACTGACAGAAAAAAACTTAAAATCTAAACATGCTGTAGGGGGAATGAGTAATTCAAGAAAAATCATATTAAAGTCAAAATGAAATATGGATGAAAACATTTCTTATTTGACAATTGATATAAACATAAGTTTAACAGATCATGAAATTAACATTCTCATTGCATTACAAGGAAAGATCAATATTGACTTCATGGGAAAATTCCTATGTGGATCAAATAAAAACTTTCCATCTTGTAATCTTTATTTACTTACAAAAAAAAGTTACTTTTAAGCGATGAGTAATGCAGGGAGCGGTTCATTAATCAAATCTTAAATTGTTGAAAACAGTTTTGAATAAAATATCATTGTTTAATAAACAGTTACTTTTTTTTAAATTTAATTTGTAATTATTTATTGCTAATGCATATAAAATTGCAAAAAACTGCTGTTTGTTTTTTTTTCAAATCAGAGAATTTCACTTTTAAATATGAAATCAGCTTAATTATTTAATTGGAAAATTTGATATTATGAATGACTTATTAAGATATGAATGAGAAAGCTTACCTGCAACAACCCATAATTAAATAACATCAAATTCCTTAGGTAACTTCATAGGTGTGCAAAGGTTTTGATGCATGGCCAATTTTACCTGTACCAAACTTTTTATCATTAGACCAAAACAAAAACAAAAAAAGTGAATTTGTCTTATTTCCTTTTCATGGTTCATTACGCCATGGGGTTAACTTCACTACTAAATTATGTCTCTCTCAATTATTTATAAATTATTCCAAATTCTTGTAGGAACAGCTGCGAAATATATGGTTATGATGACATTACAATTTTAATATTTAAAATTCCAATGAACAATTAAATTATTAATAATTCGTCTATAATAAGCCATTTAATTCCTATGTATTGTGGAGATCAACAGTTTTTATAAAAATAGCCTTAAACTACTTCTAAATGGATTTTTTTAAAACACATTTGAATCAATTAAATAAGATTTTATAATATTCAATTCAATTTGGGTATAGGATTCCTTCATTTGGAAAATTCTGCTTCAATTTATTAATTGGACAACAAAATGCAAGTAAATTGTAATTTAAGTTTAATATTGATAATTTAATATCTAGAAGCATTCAAAATAGTATATTTTGTCTTTCAGAAAGTGTCTATATGAAGGTAAATTTTAAAAGTAAAATTTTCTTTTCAAGTGATACATGTAGTATGATCATGACGATATACTATTAAAATAATGTTGGTCAATTATGAATCATACAATTGAAAATTATGTCTTTAAAAAATACAGTTCACAACTTTTACCTATGTCGCCTCAAACTTATATGTCATTTTGTTCAAAACAACTATTTATTATTTGCATACATGCAATGGACATTAAAAAAGGCCCTTGTTTAAATTATAAATGGTTAAACAATTTGGTTCAAGTGTACCAAGGGCTACAGGGTTAACTCTATAAAGTGACCTAGGGGAGACAACTTTACTAAACTTGAAAGGGAGAGAACTTTAATAAACATTAACGGAATGAAGTTTTAGAAAATCATCATTAAAAAAAAAGCAGAATAAATTTACTTTAGAATTCCTAGTTCTTTTTCTTAAATGATGTAATAAAAACAATGTTAAATTGATAAACATCTTTATCTTCACTATGAATCTGGAACAAGTGTCTAGCCACTGTTGTCATAATAAAGCCTAGCAGAAACTTATCAGAACCAATCAAAATTAGCATAATACTTCTTTGGGATGAAAGAGAATGTTCATATTAAGTTTTCTGTACTGACTGAAGTTGTTTGTGTTACATCATTGCATTATATAATATTTTGATTTTTACTTTGATGTTAACGTTATATGAAAACATCTTTCTGAAATGACCTTCATCAGGTACAGTCAATGCCAAAAGTTTGAGGACTAAATATCCATAAATCTTTGTCAGCAAATATAAATTTCTTTCCATATCTGTTCACACACGGATTACAGGTTTTTTTTTACAAAAAAAAAACAAATTTCATTTGAAAATCTTTTAAAATCACCATAATTATTCAGTGATGAAGAAAAATTGAAAGATAATAGCTTTATTGTTATATTTAAAAAGTAAACAATATAATACAAAACAGTCTTTAATACTGAATAACATAATGTTATGAAAGATAAAAAATCCATAAAAAATAGATTTATTCAAATACTGTAGGTAAAATTTCCATCTTGTTAGGTAATAGAGTAAATTCATTGTTTGATTATTTCAATATCAGATCAAAGAGGTAATATTTGAATTATCTCCCTTTATAAACTTGGATATTAAAAAATGCCAGAGAACATCCCTTAATACTCATAAAATACTCGACACTGTAGTAGGACTCTGTGATTTGACATAATCTATTTTTTTATTTTCAGATCAAAACCTAAAAATATATTTCAGACCTGAAGATATTTTATTAAAGTTTTGACAATTCTGTTTTGAACAGGTAGAATCTTGTTAGATTTTCATTTGATATGTGCCAATTAATATTAACTAAACCTAATTACTGCAAAAAGCTTCACAAAATTCATTAAGAGTTAATTTATGACACAACCATAACCTAAGTTAAAGCATTGCCTGGCATGACAATAATAATGGAGACAATTTTTCAAGTTCTAAATGATATTAAGGTAGATAGGGTGTCTTCCTCCATCTTGGATTTTGAAATACCAGAAAATAATCGGTCTAGACCTTTAATAAAATGTGCAAATTTTGAGAGTAGTGGGTAATTCATGTGTAAGAATTTACATTTTAATATAGAAAATGACATGTTTAATTATATTTATGGTTGTATTTTACAAAAAACAGAATACTTTTGTTTGATTCAATTTTTTCTAACTTTGCCACATAAGGGGAGGCAACTCAAATGTAAGGGCAGATAATTCAAATATTGTTACTTTTACAATAGAATGTGTTAGGAATTTATATATTTTATTATGTAGCAAGAAAACGGGCCCGGTGACCCCATTTTTTCTTTTTCTTATCTGAAAGTATAATATTAGAGCTATCTTCTCATGTTTTATCTCAAAATTCTATGGTGCAGTTTTCGTTTTATGGCAGAAAATTGCGTTTTCCATGCATTATCTATACAAAATCTGTCAATTTTGCACAACCTGTAGCGTGAAAATAAGCCCCGTGACCCATTCTTTTTATTATTTTTTCCAAAAAAGCATGATATAAACTACATTTTGGCAAATTATTAAAAAATTCTATGGATTATAATTTAGACACCCCATCTACCTTAAAGGAGTTGATAATTTTACATCTGATATAAAGACGAAATATAAATAAATGAAAATATTTTGTTATGATCTATATAATAGTTTCATGCCACATCCTATGGGAAACAGGCAATAGTGTTGAAGATATTTTTAACATGTCTGCCATGCTATAGATATCTTAGGCCAATTCTGCTTAAACTGAATGAATCATGGGAAAAGAAAAATAGACAAGTTTCAAACTAGTCCTTCTGATTATGTTGAACTTCATTGATAAGTCGCAATTAATCTGTATATTTTCAAACTATTCAATACCTTGGTCTTGAAAAATAAAAACTAACTGTAATTTTTTTAAAACTTAAGATAAAATAATATCCTTTTTGGACAAAAGTATTTAAAAACTTCAATGTAATTAAAGTAAAAATAATGATTAAGTGGTATTGACCACTTGCATTACATATAATATATATATATATAAGGAGAATAGGTACAGGACATCAAAACAACTGTAAAAGCAAGACATTATATACTCAGTCACATCACAGCAAATTAGCAGCATTCAAAATTATTGTCCTTGTACTTTAGGTAGTAATACTATAAATTATACATTTATACTAAAGTCTTTGACAGCAAGTAACAAAAGCATGTCAAGGACATATTTGGAAGCCTTTTATTTATTGAATTTGATGTCTAACAGAATCAGAACCAGTCTCAGTCTTACAGCAAACATAAGCATGCAAAATTATATTTCTGTCAATGTGTTGATTTAATTTACAAACAAGAATGTGTCAATAGTACACGGATGCACCACTCGCACAATCATTTTTTATGTTCAGTGGAACGTGAAATTGGGATCAAAACTCTAATTTGGCATTAAAATTAGAAAGAACATATCATAGGGAACATGTGTACTAAGTTTCAAGTTGATTGGACTTCAAGTTCATCATAAACTGTTATCACAGAGATATGTCTCGCCTTTTTGTAATTTTGATAATGCAAATGTTGAAAATAGCAATACTTTAACATGTAAGTTATGCAAATATTCAAAGTCGATGAACCATGACTGAAGGTACATTGCTAAACAATCTCCATGGAATGAGATGTGCCAATGCTAATACAACTGCATACCAAATACCATTGACTTATTATAAGTCATTCACTTTTAAAAAAAACCTAAACACAAACATTAAATTGTAAACTATGTAAAAGTTTCAAAGTCAATGAACCATGATCAGGGATGGGGCTATATAATCTCCATGGAAAAGAGACTTGCAAATGCCAATACATTTGCACACCAAATATCATTGACTTAACATAAGCAGTTCATCTTAAACTGATCTAATCACAAACTAATACATGTAAACTAAGCAAAAGTTTCAAAGTCAATAGACCATGACTGAGGGGGCGGGCCAAATATTCTCCATGGAAATGAGATGTGCTAATGCTTATACAACTGAACACCAATTAACATTGGCCTACCACTAATGGTTCCCCTTGAACTGACCTAATCACAAACTAATACATGTTAACTTAGCAAAATTTTCAAAGTCTATAGACCATGACTAAGGGGGCGGAGCCAAATAATCTCCATGGAAATGAGATATGCCAATGCTTATACAACTGCATACCAAATATCATTGACCTACCACTAGTGGTTCCCCATAAATTGACCTAATCACAAACTAATACATGTAAACTATGAAAAGTTTCAAAGTCAATAGACCTTGACTGAGGGGGCTGGGCCAAATAATCTCCATGGTAATGAGATGTGCCAATGCTAAAACAACTGCATACCAAATATCATTGACCTACCACTAGTGGTTCACCATGAACTAGACCTAATCACAAACTAATACATTGTTGACGCCGCCGCTGCCGGAAACAGCATACCTATGTCTCGCTTTTTGACTTCGTCAAGGCGAGACAAAAAACTACCTTGACCAAAAACTTTAACCTGAAGCGGGACAGACGGACGGATGGACGCACGCACAGACCGAAAAACATAATGCCCCTAAGTGGGGCATAATAAAACTATCTAAAAATGTTTTCTCTTCTAATATATTACTTATATTGGCCTGTTCTTCATTTTACTGTGTGTGTGTGTGTGTGTGGTGTTTTTTTTTTTAATTTAATGTTCCATAAAAAAGTAATGGACTAAGACAGGATTTTGAATAAGAGTTAAAAGTTTTGCCCTTCCCCAAAATGAATCTCCAGAATTGTGAAATAAAACTAAATAAATACCATTGCCATTTTAAAGTACAAAACCATGTCAAATGATGGGTTTAAATCCTCTTTCCTTGAATCTTTTTTGTTGCAGCGAGTCAGTACTTCTCATCAAGGGAGATAATTTATGTAAATTATAATTTTAGAGTCAGATTCATGATTTTGATAATGACTTATAAAAGGTTTAGCTGTAACAAAGGAAAGACAATTTGTCTTTTTTTTTAAACTGCTGCCTTAAAGGTGTCTGTATCATTCATCTCATCTTAGAAATGCACATAAATGAGCTGCAACATCTAACTTATCAATTTACAACTATACACCAAAAATCAGTTTAATACCTGTTGCATAGAGAATAATAAAATATTTACACAGAGATATGTCTCTCCTGGATGTAATTTTGATTTTATAATGCAAATGTTGAAATTAAAATGGCAATCCTATTAACATGTAAACTTTGTAAAACATTCAAAGTCAATGAACCATGACTGAACGTGCAGTGCATAATTAAGTTCCTTAAATCAACAGATTAATATACTTGCAATGAACAAATTAAAAACAAAATAAGAAACACCTTAAAAATTACTTTGTTTCCAATTGGCAATAATGTACAAGAGATGAATATTTTTGAAGAAGAACTTGCAAACTGACAAAGGACACCAAGCGGTGTCAATAGTTCACATTTGTCCTTGGGCCAGATGAGTTTTAAGAGCTATGACATTTGCATACACCTTCAAATTCTCAGTTAATACATCCATAAATGGGCCTAAATTAATTTGTAAATACCCTTTCCTGTCATGATAAAACTGCGACTAGTTTTAGGTTGTGTATTGCCATTGGATGATGACAAACATTGTTAATTACCTAGACTACAAGGGAACTAGTCAACAAAGCTAACTATGAAGAAAAAGCTCTGTGATATATGTATATTATAAAGCTAACAAATCTAAGTAGCACACAATGTGAATCAGTGTGTAAAATAAAAATAGTAAACTAAACCTTTGGGAATCACTCCTGCTGTAAACAAAGCATGTAATATATATAAAAATTAGTAAGCAAAAATGGGGGATAATTCTACAGGTCAACTGATATCATGATTTCACTTTCCATCTTTGGATCTTTTTTTTCTATATAGAGCTGATTGCACCAATTAAATATTTTAAACACAATCCCCTTTTTGATGAAATAAATGAGTGAAGTACTTTTATAATATTACATTTTAAATATAACAAATTATGAAATAGCTGTCCCAATTTCCCTTTCAACTGAAAACATTTAATTTAAAAAGGAAAATATTGTCTTTCACAATCAGTGACCTTGTATTTTAGAACTATGTTTAACGACAACTGATATGCAATACCTACTTGTAATTCTAAGTCCTATAATATGAACTTGTTTAAAATTGTAAGCACTCTTTAATTCAAATTTCTCATAACCAGAATGTGGACACAATTATTTTTGAAAAGTTTCTCTTATATAAGAGTTGGCATGCTCTTAATTTAAGGTATGTGATGACTATAGAATTTTTTATTTTTTTCTCATCTCATTTGAGTATGCAAAATGTCCCTCCCCTGACTTTTTTATTGTTTTATTTCTGGAATAGCATAATATTACAAAATTATAGATCTTAATAATATATCAGTTACAATAAGGGATTTGGTATTCAAAATCAAAAACATTCCCAAAACATGCCAAATATGAATATAGGATATACAATGTAAACACAACCTTAATCTTTCTATTTGATTACTGTGAAGATAGATAAACAGTGATGAACATAGAAAAATAAAAACTACAAAAATATTCCAGGTTGTTTAAATAAAATCAGGATCAACTCAAATTTACATTCACAACATCAAAATTTAAATATGCATGCCTTTCTAATGTGCACATGTGCTCACACCTTACATGCTAATTAGTAACATTTCCAGTTTTTAGTGTGTTTACATATTTTTTTTTAGAGTTATGTCCCCTTCTATAAGTCATAGTAATAAAGGGACACAACTGATCTTTATCACATGTGCTTGTAATTGAGTTTGAAAAGCCTTTCCATGTTGTAATAAATTTGTCCATACCTTCTTTTCCCATGCTGGTTCCTATGAGGTATAATCTCATTAGTGTCTTCGTTTTCTTTGTCTTTCAACTGTAAAATAAATAATACAAACAGTTGAAATATATCTTGATATATAATCAAAAGTTATAAAGTTATCTTTTATTCTCCATTCTGAAAGGTATGACTTAAATTTACAGTATTGCAGATTGATGTGATTAAATTTTACACTCTTCTAAACGCAAAAGATTTATCTATTCTAAGACTGGATGAAGTAAAAAGAACTGTTACAATAATTTTGTACCAAGTTAGACTATGATGAACATGCATGTTTGTTTTTGTTTGTACATAGAAGTCTGGTGTTGGTGGTTGGTGTGGTCTGGTGTTGGTTTGTGTGGTTTGGTGTTGGTGGTTGGTGTGGTCTGGTATACTTTCAAATATTTTTGGAAATATCTGTTATCTTTTGTATATATTATATAAGTATACTATAACTTACTGATTGTTGCTTGGCCTTAAGTTCCTCTAATAATTTAATTATATCACTATCTGCTACATCAATTGATGTTTGACCCTGGAATAAACAATACAAATGTTAAAACATACAAAAACATGTACCTTTTCCTAAATTAAAAATTAATTACACAATTCTAAAATTCAAAACTTAACATTAAATAGTAATCAAAAGGATCCATGCTAAATATATTTTCTCTAATAAAAGTGTATTCTACATTAACAGGTACTTTACAACTAGACAATAATTGTATAAATTTGAATACTCAAATAAGTTACAAAGTGTCGGCAGCAAAGATCCTTTAATTTCTAACCTCCAAAATGTGATTCTTAATGAAGTCAAATTAAAAACTTCCTTATCAAGAAAGGAAACTTAGTTTAGTATAAAAATAGGGAGATCTGGTATGATTGCCAATGAGACAACTATCTAAAATAATTACTTGTCTCTGTCCAACAATCAACAGTACCGAACTAAGAGAATTCACCTTTACTTATGGCTAGTTCAAAGCCCAATTTCAACTAAAAAATAAACAATGTTCTTTCAGACAAAAATGTCAATCAGTACATATCTGTACACAATACTTATTTAGAGTAAAGACGTCATCAGCAGTCTGAGGAAAACATGACCTTGTGCTATGCCAAAATATAAGTTTCGACAGGATGTAGGACCATAAGTGTTTATACTGGGATAGCAACACAAGGTTAGTTATGTATTCAAATATTATAAATATAACTAATGTAAGTACCAATAAAGACAACATTCAAAGATCTTACTATAAAGTTATTAAAAATGAATTTATTCAAAGTAACAATAAGTTTATACAGATCATATGTTAATTTATAACCTCTATAAACAACATTCCTATAAAAATTAGGATATGATATCCATTTGTAAAACGATTTCTACATGTACAAACTAAAATTCAAAGCCTAGTCTTTGTTTCTCTAAAAGGAAATTTGTAAATGTTTTAAGTAATTTTTGGTAACCAAATCCCTGACAAAATATTTGTCAGTTATATATCGGTTTTGATTATTGAAATCCAAAACATCAATTACAGACATGGGCAAAGCGAACAAGTTGGGAAATATACACACTGTAAAAAGGAGGAAAAAAATATCAGTCTCAAAAAAGGAAAATTAACAATAGGGACCAAAACTCATCCCTTTGGTCATAAATTTTAGTATAGAGTTTCCCATATGAAACTGAAATATCCAAATCAAGAAAAGAACAATTATTGCTGTTACTGTTCATTAGATTTCATAGTTTTCATTTATTTAACAACCTCTGTTTGATTTTCAAGTTCTTTCAAATATCACTCGCCACATCACCCTTAAATTTTCTCTAGTATATTTCCCAAGTAGGAAACTCAAGACTTACAGCATTATTTTTAACTTCCATATCACACATATGATCGACGAGAGCCTTGCAAACTTCTTCCTGACACCAATGTGCTGCAGCATGGAGAGGAGTCCACCCATCATTATCCCTAGCATTCACATCAACTCCTGCTTGAAGGAGAACACTGAAAGTACAAATAACATTCACCGTCACTTCAACATGTACAAGTGTCTTTCATAAAAGTACAAATACCATTCACCGTCACTTCAACATGTACAAGTGTCTTTCATAAAAGTACAAATACCATTCATCGTCACTTCAACATGTACCAGTGTCTTTCATAAAAGTACAAATAACATTCACTGTCACTTCAACATGTACAAGTGTCTTTCATAAAAGTACAAATAACATTCACCGTCACTTCAACATGTACAAGTGTCTTTCATAAAAGTACAAATACCATTCACCGTCACTTCAACATGTACAAGTGTCTTTCATAAAAGTACAAATACCATTCATCGTCACTTCAACATGTACCAGTGTCTTTCATAAAAGTACAAATAACATTCACTGTCACTTTAACATGTACAAGTGTCTTTCATAAAAGTACAAATAACATTCACTGTCACTTTAACATGTACAAGTGTCTTTCATAAAAGTACAAATACCATTCACCTTCACTTATATTCAACGTTAAAAGTTTTTTTTTCATAACAAGTGTTTTCATCTAGTGTGCTTTTGTTTATGGTGAAATTTTTTCTTTATTTTAGTATGCTTGACTAGATTCCTTATATATGCTGTGAAATATAGTATATATTTCAAGGATATGAAAAATGCAGAAAATTTAGAAATATTGATCAAGTCAAAGCTCACTTGATTAAAATTTTTCTATTGTAACTGACAAAAGATGTTTCAATAAAACTTTAGACTTAGATACCATAAAAACTGTCTCTTCGCTGTGGATAATTGTGGTCAAAATATGAACTGTTTAACCTATTAAAGTGTTTCCTACAAAACTGAATGGAAGTGGTCCTTCGGTGCCATATCTTCTTAATAGATGTCTTATTGTGTGATTGTTGGACCTACCTTATGACTTTCATATAGCCTTTAGCAGCTGCCACATGGAGAGCAGTGGCACCAGTCTTTTGGTGCCGTTTCTCCTTGACGGACTTGTTATTCAGCCATTTATTGGCATCCTCTAACATCTGGTTCTCTTCCTCTTGTCTGGCTGCATCAGCATCAATATCTTCAACACAGATTTAACACAAAATTATCTTTGAAATGTAAAATTTAAAAATAAGAAAAATATGACAATTTTAACAGTCAATACTTAAGATGAAGAACAGCAATTCAATGTGGTTTCCAGTGTACAAATTTTGGAATTTCTTATCATACCATTATCCTGACGCTAGTCCTTATCATATCCTGTTTATTTGTTGGTATTTAACATCACTTTCAGAGCTCTTGGCTATATCATAACAACAGTTTTTAATGGTGGAGAAGTCTGTTTATGAGGAGAGAACCAGTACCTCCTTTGGAAAACTTGCAATCATCGTCAATTAAGATTGGAGTCTAGTGTAACCAAGCCATGAGGGAGGGGAGGAGGAATGGGGTAGAACTCATAACCTAAGACAAGACACGCTAGTAATTGCTGTAGACATACTACTCAAAGCACTCTGCCATTGAGGTTCCTCGTCATATCTTCAAACCTGAACAAAACCATAACCCTCATGTATTAGGTAAAAACAAAACTACATTGTATTACAAGAGTTAAAGGTCAGAACATATCATTTTATTTGACAATATATCATTCATTAATTGCCCTTGAATGTAAATAAAGGCCTAACATATTGAAAGTTAAATTAAAGAAATAATGTTATCCAAATTTTAGCTACTTGATCTTAAATGGGTGTTTCCTGAAGTGAATGACCTTTCTACCAGGCAAACTGCCAATGTTGTATCTCATTAGGTTCAGTCAGTCTAAAGATCTGCTAATTACTACTGATTATATAAAACTATAAGATATATTCAAATATCTCAAGTGTAGATGTTCTGTTTTTTTGTTAAACATAGTTACCAAGGAATAAAGTTTGGAATTTTTTTTTTGAAAGACATTGCACAATAGTGATTCTGTCAAACAAGATAAATATATTAGTTTTATTATATTCTTCATCATTAGAAAAACATAAATAAAGGACAGGAACTTCCTAACCTTTTACTTCCTTAATATTTATATCCTATACATTATTAAGCCCTTACATGGGAACTAACCATCTGTTGTAGAAATAACAAAATACTGTCAATTCTGGGAGCAGTATGCCTTTGGGGGTACATGTTAGCAGCTATTAACTTGTATGTGTCCTTTGTTTATGGCCAAGTTAAAAAATGCAAGATTTATCATAAAGAAACTGAACATTTTCTTACTATGCAATTCAATAGGGACAGAGAATTGTTCTTATATCATTGAATGGGTTACCCTGCTACCTTCTTATACTCATATCACATAATTGTTGTTTCAGTGTGTTGTAACTCTACCTATAAGGAATGCATTACTGAACCTAAGAGTGTAACACACAGAGGAATGCATACTTTGTAACTTTATCTCTTTTCAAAATATCTTTATTAACTAAAAAAAGGCTAAGCTAAACAATCAGTGATTTTACTGATTATGAGATTAGATTTTTTAAATGCTTTATTTCAATGGCAATAGTTCTCTGCATTAAAACCAATTTCTCTTCTCTCCAATAAAACTTAAAGAAGCTACATTTGTACACATGCTTATTTCAGGACATTATAAAACTTTATTTGGTCTACTTGAGTATCTCATTTAATTGTTTCCCAATTTTTTTCACAGGTAAAATATTTGCTTTGTACATTACATTTGAATGTTGTACTCTGCACAAAAATGTACCTACTAGCCTACATTGTGAGGTGTGTATGTACTATTAATTAACATAATTAGCCAAGTAGCTAGTGTATGATTACCTAATCAAGTAGAAACTGTATAAAGTATCTCTATTGACATATCTTTTGTTTTTTGTATGTCAAACAAGATTTCTTACTATCAGTTCATCAAAGAGTTAAAGATCAGTTCAACAATGTGTCAATCTTCAAACGAATAATTTTAAATTTCCCAGTCATTTAAAATATATGTAAAACATACTGACATACATATATTATCTATCTAGCCAGACACTTATTCTAAATTGCCCTATAACTAAATCATACACATAAAATCTAAAAATCAAAATGAATATAAAATTTATAATGTAGAATTCACAGACAATCTACTGCACTGCCTAGATGGATATTGTGTTTTATCAATTAGCCATACCTTCTTATAAAAGGCCATTTCAAGTTTGAATAAATATTGCCATATTGAGGTTAATGCCACTGAACCATAGAAGGTTTCTATAAGATGTTATAAATTTCATAATTAGTAAAATCCCTTTCATTTTAGTGATCTTGTGGTCAGTTGTGAAACAGGTTACTTAACTTAAATATCATCTATCTATCTGTTTTCTTTTTTTTTAATGGGGTATATTGCTACAAATCAAGTCAAAAAGGCAAAACATTTCCTGTAGGCATACTTTGCTAGAAGCTTTATAAGTTCTTTGGATTAATGAAAACTAAAATCCCCTTCAAATCTAATATAATTATACCTAGTTTCGACATTTCCTCTTGCAGCATCTGTTCCATAATTTCATCCTCACAAATATCAATTGGTAGATCTCCATCATTATTTACGGCAGCTACGTTAGCTCCTTCTTTTATTAAATATCTGAAAAATAGGAAATTTCATAAAACAACTATGTACCCTTACAGGTTTCTAGTGTGGGTCATTATAAAACAAAGATCAATGTTAAAAGATTTCTTAAGAATAATAATGATATCTCTCACCTTGGTCTATGTACATCTTCAATAAAGAGCTGCGACATGAGCGCATGATACGCATGTTGCTTTTTCAATGAACAAAGTTCCACAACTACTCAATGTCATATCAAAAAAAAATTTAAATCTAAAGGGAGCTTATTCTAATAGATATAAACCAGTCACCAAAGTTTCATGAAAACTGCTGAAAGCATTTTTGAGTTATTGTCTGAAAACTAGAAAATCCAACCTTTTTTATGAATAAAATCCCATAACTCAGAACATAAAATTTAAATTTATAAAAATCAAAAGGGAGCTTACGTCAATAAATATTAACAATTCACCAAAGTTTCGTGAAAATTGGTTTAAGTGTTTTTGAGTTATTAGTGTATTGTCAAACATGTTGACGACAAGAGTATACCATAATACGTCCCGTAAACGGACGTATAAAAATGGACACTTTCCGACATTGTAGATTAGAATAAAATTCATGACAAAAATCTCTTTTATTGTCTTGTATTGTTGATCATTTTTTGTGTTAAAGTTTCTGGTTTCAAGAGCGCAATTATTTGTTTACCCCAAGATGGTACTCAGAATAGAATCTTGTACGCCTTTTGATTGGATGATACAGGATTAGAATTACTTTTAATCGACAGCTATCCAAATAGGTTTACAAAATCCAGAAAATCAAATTCATATTTTACAAAGTATAGAAAATATATTCAATTTCTGCACGTTAATTATTTGCCTTTTTGCATTAAGCGAGAAAAAAAAACAACATTGTTTTCCCAACTGCATTTTAAGTTAACTTTTGCTGTATTTTTTTTTGGCTGTTATGCAAAGCTGACATTTCTAGTAACAGGAACTGCTACCCAATTTTTTTCTAGATTGTAGTCTTAGAGAAATAAAATATAGAACACCACTGGTACCCCATGGAAAAGGCATTACAAATAATTGCACTCTTGTAACCTTCTATCTATCTTCTTTAGTTTTAGCTATAGCCAAAAAGACAAAAAAAAGTAAAACAAAATTTGACTTATTTGTAGATCTTCTACTGCTAATCAATTTTGCTACATAAAGTGTCTATCTATCTTTTATATGACAAGTATTCTGTGAGTATTGCCTGGCAATACATAGTCCCCTATCGGTTAAAAATTCATTGTACTGGAACAAAATGCTAACTTGATCTATAACTTGTCATGCTGTAAACTATCAAGTCAATATCTTCAAGCATGACGAACAAAAAATGTGGAAAATTGATTATTTGAGTGAATTTTCTAAGTTCAAGGACCATAACTCTGCACAAAATCATTAGACTGGAACAAAATTTGAAACTGATCTGTAACTTGTCATGATAAAACTATATATACCAATCATCAAATCAATATCTTCAAGCATGACAAAAAAAAGTGCGGAAAACTGATTATTTGAGTGAATTTTCTAAGTTCAAGGACCATAACTCTCCACAAAATCGTAAGACCGGAACAAATTTCAAACTTGATCTGTAACTTGTCATGATTAAACAATACACCAAATATCCAATCAATATCTTCAAGCATGACGAAAAAAGTGAGGAAAACTGATTATTTGAGTGAATTTTCTAAGTCCAGGGACCATAACTTTGCACTAGATCATTAGACTGGAACAAAATTCATCTTGATCTGTTACTTGTCATGATAAAACTATATACCAATCATCAAATCAATATCTTCAAGCACAACAAAAAAAAAATCGGAAAACTGATTATTTGAGTGAATTTTCTAAGTTCAAGGACCATAACTCTGCATAAAATCATGAGACCAGAACAAAATTCGAACTTGATCTGTAACTTGTCATGATTAAACAATACACCAAATATCAACTCAATATCTTCAAGCACGAGGAAAAAAAGTGTGGAAAACTGATATGCAGGACTGACGGATGGACAGACAGACGGACAGAGTGCAAACCTAAAGTCCCCTTCAATTAAGTCGGTAGGGGACTAATAATAGGCAGCTATCAGCATTAAAGAGCAAGAACTCCGATAAAAAGTATGATTGATGATTTCAGCCATGTTGTCTTAATTGTAGATTGTCTTGCTGATCAATTTTGCTATTTTGAATGTCTATCTATCTATAATAGTATTCGAGATAATCGACTAAAACACTAATATTTAGTAAAACTCATCATTAACAGCAATGACTTCAATAAAAGGTTGTCTGACAATTTTGGCCATTTGATTTATTTGTAGATCTTGTCTTGCTGATAACTTTTTCTATTTAAAGTTTCTCTCTTTCTAATGGATTTTTTCATAATAAAAGGCAAAAATACAAGAAAATGAAGAAAAAAAATTAAGGGCAATAACTCCTTTAAAAAGTCATCTGCTAGTTTTGATGTAAATGAACAGTAGGTAGAATTCAACATTCTCAACATTTTGCCCCATCAGATTTTCTCTATCTATAGCGGTTTTAAGAAAATTGAAAAAAAAACACTTTCATTTTACCCCTATGTTCTATTTTAAACCATGTCAGCCATGTTGGTTGGCAGGCTGGGTCATTGATGTCTGTGGAAATGAGAGGTGCAAATGCTCATACAATTGCATACCAATTATCTTTTTTTTTCGACTTTTGAGACGAGACAAAAAATATACAAGAGTGCACACGCTGAAATGTCTTGCCTGCTTTACTGACCATTGAATTTATGTAGAAAGTCTTAAAGATAAAGGTTTTACTACATATCACATAAAACTTAACATCTTTAAATATCTATGGCAATGAGGTCAAGGTCAGATAATCCTGTCAGACAGACATGTACACCTTACAATTATTATTCAATATACCAAATATAATTGACCTGCTACTTATAGTATTTGAAAAACAGACCAAAACACAAAAACTTCACATTTACCAATGAATCATGAGGATTATATACATGTACATTAATAATTTGAATATTAATTTGAATTGAAACTCTGATAACATGGAAATCATACCAAATCTCCTTATTTTTATATACACATGATCATACTTGTACTGTCTATACATTTATTTACATGTATATAGCAACTCTGCTGAAATTGACATACACAACACATGAACAACCCTCCAAAAATTCCAGTCTTCACTCTTGTTAACTTGAATGTACTTTAGTGTCAACATGGTAAACATATCAGATAGATTCTATGATACTTTATGTATTACTATGGACAACTGTATACTTAAAGAACATATGAATAAACCACTTCTACTGTGTTATATTTAGAAACAGGAAATACTATCTATCTTGTGCATCTGACTGATAAATTATCTTTTATCTTTATAGTACATGCACTTCTCCAAAGTATATACTACTTAAAATGTACAATGTATTTCTACATCATAGTATTTCATAATTCATCCATATGATATCATCAAACAATCTTCTTGAATCAATGGGATAATAAATAACTTAAAAGTATGTTGGAGTTTCTCTCACTGTTCATATATCCCTTATCTTATAAGTTTGACTTTTCTTTTGCTTGCTTTCCACCTTATGTATTGAAAAAAAATAAAACAAGATAAAACTTGAAGATACAAAGATGTAACTGTGTTTTCATTGATTGCTGTGATTCATCATGGATCTACCAAAACTGCAATATGTTTATACAACTTTGACATTCCGAAACGTGAAGTGTTCCATTTGAAAGTTAATCAAAAAGGTGCTTAAAATGCAGCAACTTCAATGTGTTTGACTTGAACTTTAAAGTTCCTTTATTTACCCTATCTAACTTTAATCAACAAACAAAGAAAAGAAAATAATTGTAATTGTTTACAAATCAAAAAGGGTACATGTAGACAACTTTATATTTCAATTTCCAATTTTACAATGTAAGAATGATATTAGAACACATTTGTATACAATTTCAAGATAAATGTACCTTTAAAATGAATAAAACTAGCCTAGTCTTAAGTGAACCTGACCCATATAATGATAATTAAATATTAAATAGGCTGTCCTAATTAAAGGACCAGGTTGTACAATACCTGAGGTAGATTATAAACGGACCAGAGTTTTGTTTACCAGTATTTCTCAATGAAATTCCTATGGGGTATATACATTTATTATTTACACAACAATGAATAATATTAGACAACAGTATAATATATATAGTTCTGAGGTGAAAAAATATCACTATATCAGGTTGGGAAATTTAAATACCTTTTATTTACAATAGATTTTCAATTTTGTGAATGAGAAATATTGTATAATAAAGCTGGGATAAGTCAATAAAATCAAGTTTACAAGATATGAGCAAGAGAATATGTACGTCAACTACAAATAAACTAAATCAGGCTAATATGATAGGTTTGGAATCAGAATATAAGCATAAATGGAATCAGAAACTTTTCAAACTAGATTCTACACCTAGGAATGACACTACTTCCATTATGAAGTACATCAAAGCAACTATTGCAGTACTATGGCCCATGAAAGATCTATTCCAGAACTTCAATAAGCCTGAGACAGAAGACACTCATTTCTATACATGGACACATAAACTTCAGGGAAGTGAATGTCATAATGGATCAACATCATTTTGTAACCATTATTGTTATTCTGGTGGTTTTTTTCTACCAAAGGAAAAAGTGTAAATGATACAACCAGTTTTTGGCCCTTAATAAAAACAAGGACAATAGATCCCAAAAACAATCCCAACCATCCTTTACTGGTATGGAGCCTTGGGCTAAAATTTCATAGAGATCCATGAATTTATACTCAAGTTATTGTCTGCGAACCAAAATGTCTTCAGACCCAGACACAGACAACACCATAACATAATACTACCTGCGGTCGTATAAAAAACAAGACCAATACTGGGTCTGGACCTGCGTTGCTTCATGCAATCAGGTAACATGTATACTGAAGCATAACTGACCATTCCCTTTCATTAAAGACAGAAAAAATGTGATGCAAATATTCCTTGTTTACTGAGTATGGTAAAATTTCAAAATAATGGTAAACAGTAAGTGGCTGCATGGTGGATTCAAATTTGATAACCCATTACAACTGAACATAATCAAGCTGCACACAAAAAAATAAAATTATTCCCTTCAATAAGAACCAAGAAAAGTTTTACACAATTTTTCTTGTAAAATGCATGGATGCTGTAAATTTCAAACTATAGGCAAACAGGAAGGGGCTGGACGGAGGATATAAAATAGCTTTTTGCTACAAATCAACATTATAAAGCAGCAGACCAAATGTAAACCATTCCCCTTGATAGAAGCCATGAAAAGTTTGATGAAAATTTTTATTGTACAATGAGTGTTATAACATTTCAAAAGATTGCAGACAGAAAGTGGCTGCACGGCGGATGTAAAAATTGCTTACTCGCTACAACTCAACATTATTCAGTTGCAGATCAATTATTAAAAATCATTCCCTTTTATAGAAGCCAAGAAAACTTTCCAGAAAGTTTTCTACCCAAGGTATTTCAAGGGCTAAAAAATGTTCTCTTATCATACACTCCTATTGTTGTCATGACAAGAGAACTATCGATTCAGTTATATACATGTATCTGTCCTGTAAACAATATCTACCATTGGAACCAATATCTACATAGATATTTACCTGGCTATTTCTGTAAATCCACATGAAGCTGTAGCATGTAAAGGAGTCCACCCTTCATTGTCACATACATCCACATCTGCGGAATGCTGGACCAAAAACTCCACCATATCTAAGTTGTCGTCTATACATGCCTTAAAAGGAAATAAAGTGTCATTAAAAAATATAGTTGATGACTATACATGTTTTTATTTGACCTATGCCTCTTTGTCCAGGAATTCTCCAAAATGTTGACTTTCATGGATGTTCATGAAGTGCTTTCTTCTCATATTTTGCCTTACATTCTTTCATTTAGTTTCCTTTACAGTAATGGTTGATAATGTTTTTTATGTGGTAAACAATCCCAACAAATTATTAGGATTTGGACAACCTGTAGCATTAAAACAATATTATATTTTTGACAAAAATCCAATACATTTACTGGTAAAAAAAAAAATTCATTTTGGAAAAGTATAAAAAAAACTTTTTTTTTACTCCCATTCAAATTTAACCTGAAGTGGTACCTAACCCATTGACAGGACCCACATGGTAAGATTTAAGTAGAGTGTCTTATTTTTCAAAATGCATTGATTGTATACTATACAATGTATAGTAACTAATATTCTAGTAGATACAATGGAATAATGGTTTCATAAAAATCATGATCATATGCTATGTTAATATTAATGCTGACATGGTGTTCTAATAAAGCCAGAATAAAAGGATTCCAACCTGAATACTGATGAGTATTTACTAAATATGTATTGCACATACAATCCAATGCAATAAACAAGTTTATCTCTGGACACTTTTGCTTCATGTACATTGTATGTAATGTGTGCAGCGACACTTTAATACCGAACTGACATAATGAATTCATGAAGATTTCAAAACATTAATAAGTACTGTAAAATTTCCATGGTTAAACTATCTACCTGAACATAAAGTTGCCCATTTACAATTTTTAAAGATTTTGCATAAAATCAAACTTTAAAAAATATCATATGAAGAACACTATCACTGTTGACAAGCGGATGATGATAACTGAAGTTACCATGATCCCAATATGGCGGAGGGGAATCCCCGTAAGATCTTTCCCTCTTAATTTCTTTGTTTTTAAATAAATGTGGCTAACATTACTCAGCCGTCGTTTGGTTATTAACATTTGCAATGAGTCTGTAAAATATTAACCTTAAACAGTTGTCCATTACTTAGAAAATAGAGAGTGAAAAAAGTATGTTGATAATGGTTACTGTTCATGTTATTTTTGAAAGATTGTGGTAACTGATTGCTGGGATGGTGGTAACTTGCCAAAAGGTTGTATAAAACTATGTACAATTTTAGCCGTGACATATGGCCCCCTCACCCTTAATTTACGTTACGTATTTCGTCCTATATTATGACCCATAGTTGAGTACTACGTATCGGTATCAGGGGCTGATCCAGACACTGTGAGAAAAGGAGGGGTGTGCTAGCCAGGGTTTCTCAGACAAAAGGGGGGTGCTAGTACTTTATTTAACATTTTTTGTCAATTTGTCACATGAAAAAGACACGTTTTCCAATAAAAAGGGGGGTGTCAATCCCCTGCACCTCCCACCCTCCTCCCCCTTTTGGATCCGCCACTGAGTATTGCTCTGGATCTTTATAAATAACCAATTTCATCATATATATTCACCATTGATATTTTTGTATTCTATCGAAAAGACAATACTATGGAAGTCACCTACTAAAGTGAAAGTAGATTGATTGTGGTAAGTTTTTTTTTTACATTGTACACTGGTCTACACTTATTTTAAAATTATTTATTTGCACCATTAAAGTCCTTAAAATTGATAATTGCTTTTAATATATTCATCACAGGACATCTAGAATTTCTGTTTTACTTATGTAAAACATAAAATGTGTAAAAGGTTCCTTCTATTCACTATATGCTTTGATTTTGAGATATCAATAGGGAAAAAATACCTTTCCGGCAATGATTTTAGAAAATGAAAAATATGGAATGATTGGGGGCTAACATTTTGTTTCAGGAATTTGCGAATTTAAATGACATATATACCTAATAATTGTAATTAATATGATGTCGATTTAAAGGATGTGTGTCTGACAAGTTTGAATGGTATGAAATGTTTTCCAGAGATTCCTCTCTGGTTTCACTTTAAAGCTGAACACAATTATATGTTTATTTCCTGTTTCTGTTTCCCAAACCTACTATATTGAGGAGGGGAGTAGGGGGTCCGATCCCGAAATCCCAAGCTTAAAAGCTTAAAACCAGAGGCCCCGAATTTAAAGAAATTTTAATCCCGACATCCTTAAATTTGAAATAGGAATTCCTGTATCCCAAATGGATCAATCCCGAAATTCCGAGCTTAAAACCGCCTAATCTCTGAGTCCCGAAAAAAGTCGCCACCCCATATTGTGATGCCCTAAGAAGTCATACTCTTATGCCTAGCATTTCTTGAAATATGTTTAACTTTTGATTTTTCCATCATTACCTCCAAGTAAAATGGTTTTTTTTTATAAAACTCTATATCTATTCATTTTTGACAAGAAACAGGAATTGCATATAAATCTGTTTAAGGCTTAGTCTTTTGAATTTTCATTTGTTTAATTATTTGATTCTTTGTTGAAACATATATAGTTTTTTAGTTGGTATTACAACACTGTTTGTGAAATTGTTGCATTAAAGAAAGTTTCATTTTACAAAACATTTTAATTTGTTTCTCCGACACATTTTTGTCTCTTGCGCCTAGTATTGGTCTATACTCCAATATAGTGGTTTCAGTTAAGATGGGTTATTGTGTTTCATTTCATGTATAGTGATGTTAAACACTGTATGATTGAAAAGAAACCTCGTGTAATATAAAAGTTACCATTATCTTCTAACTATTTTGATCGACAGTTACCACCATCCCGTCTTGGAGTTACCATCATCATCGCATTTTTATTGTGTTCAATTATCTCAGTAAAGACCAGCTGTTTAAGGTTAATATTTTACAGACTCATTGCAAATGTTAATAACCAAACGACGGCCGAGTAATGTTAGCCACATTTATGTAAAAACAAAGAAATTAAGAGGGAAAGATCTTACGCGGATTCCCCTCCGCCATATTGGGATCGTGGTAACTTCAGTTACCATCATCCGCTTGTCAACAGTGACTATGACTGACTTTAACAATTGTTCACAAGATTTAAGCAAGAATTAAAAAAACAGTTAACATATATACATATTTCAAAGAAACCCTTAACATGACCAATGATCTATTGTTTAAGGGGTTTACATTATTAGACAAGAAAACCCTGTAATATAAGAAATAATCAATAAATAAAATATTAAGTGATTACATTGCTGTTTCTAATCTTGATAGTTGCCAACATTGTACCTTTAGCATGTTTAGCAATTGTACTGAATAAAAGATGCTGAAAATGATAACGGTTATTTTTGTAAAAAATATTGTAAAATATTATAATCTTTAAAAAATACTATCAATATTATAAAAAGAGACTTACATTTATGTTTTTTTTCGTATATGAAATATATCGTTACATTAGATGCAACTTCCTAATAAGATGTCAAATCACTAGGAGTGCTGCAATTATCCAGAATTTTATATACGTGTATATGAAATGACAGGAAACTATTATGTTTTAGTACTTAGCTTTCAAAAAAGATCATGAGTCTTACATGTGACATATCACCCAAATATAAAAATGTCACTGGCAGCTGGTGGTGACCTTCCACAATAAAGATATTTGTGCTGGGATTTAGAAAATAAACAATAAATCAGGTTGGGGAGGTTTGGTGCCTCCAAACATGTTTAACCCTACCACATTCTTTATGTGCCCGTCCCAAGTCCGGAGCCTGTAGTTCAGTGGTTGTCATTGGTTCTTGTCTGTCATATTTGTTTGTTAATAAATTGTTTTGTTATAAATTAGGCCATTAGTTTTCTCAATTGAATTGTTTCATATTTTCATGTCAGGGCCTTTTATAGCCGATTATATGGTATGGGTTTTACTCGTTGTTGAAGACCGTAGGGTTGCCTATAATTGCTTACATCCACTTCATTTGAACTCTGGTTGATAGTTGTCTCATTGGCAATCATACCACATCTCATAACTATGCCCCCGTCGCAAGTGTTATCCTTGTCCGTCTGTACGTCCATCTGTCCGTACATATGTATGTCCGAAATTGGTTTCCATTCTCTAACTTTAGTTTGCCTCAATCAAATGTTATGAAACCTTTACACAATGCTTATTACCACAAAACTAATATCAAGTTCAAATTTGGGTGGCTACAGTTCTCTAGTTATCCCCTTTTATAACGTTATATGCAAGTGGGGGTATCATTTGTGTCCCATGGACACATTCTGCATTAATTTGTTTAATCAGTTAATTAGTTGCAAATAAACAAGAGCAAACATTTGTATAGTTTAATGTGGATCACTTGTACATGACTTTTGGTACTATTTCTGGAAGCTGCTTACAGCCACAAGTCTTTTTATGTTGAGAGCCTTTAAGATAAAGGTTTTACTACAGGCATAAAATAAACTTATCATTGTCAAAGACTCATTTAATTGAGGTTAAGGTCAGTTGAACCCAACCAGACAGGTATGTACCTATTACAATCATTCCATACCTCAAATATAGCTGATCTGTTGGTTATTAGTACATGTACATGAGAAACAGACCTATCCATGACCAACGAATGTTAAAAATGAGGTAGTCAAATGAACCCTGCCGGACAGATATGTTACCCCAACAATCATTACAAACACCAAATATAGTTGACCTATTGCTTATAGTACCTAAAACAGCTGATCTGAGAAACGGACCTATACCTACATGTACTGAACCATGAACATTGTCAAGGTCATAATCAGACAAACCCTGCCTGATGGATATGCCTATGTACATCCTTTAATCAGTCTATACACCAAATATATTTGATCTATTGCTTATAGCATCTGAAACAGTTGATTGGAGAAACAGACCTACACCATTAAACAATTTCAAGGTCATGATCACACAAACCCTGCCAGATTAACATGCCTATGTACATCCTTTAATTATTCAATACACCAAATATAGTTAATCTATTGCTCAGCAACTCTAACTGGCAATACAAAACACACTTGAAAGCATTGTAGGAACTATCAGTAATTTAGGATAGTATTATTTTTCATACTTACATGTAGTACATTTCTACATATAAATGGAGTATTTTATTCCTTTACTTGGGAAAAGAGAGTAAATGGGAAAAAAAATATCTTTGTGTGCACACCAGAGTTGAAAATTTTCTTTGGACCCCTGGTCCCCATAAACTATAGAAACACTTTTAGATATAATACATTTCATACATGTATTCAATTCATGACTGAGAATAGTAGTACTACTTCATCAGTACATGTAACTAGTGCAGGATATCAGGTCAAGTACATGTTGTTCATAATGTAATCACATATACATGTATACTGGAAATTAAGAAAACGTGTGTACTGCAAAAAAATAAGATGTGTGAACTCAGGTGACACTTTACAACCCAAACTGAAGGATTAATTTTCAATTTACATGTTTTGTAGTTTGTCCATACAGAAGTTAAAGTTAGCAAAGCAATATTCCTAAGAACAGCAAGAAAGATATGTCAGAAGAGCCAGAAGTCACATTTAGCTAGCAACAAGAACTTGCAATTGGCAATAATGCAAATATACAACAGCTGTAGAATGGAGTTAACCTCTACAAGAAACTTATTCATTGGAATTGCAAGCTTGTGGTTTTGGTTAATCCTCAAATAAAATAGAGTTTGGAATGAAGGGAAAAGCCATACTGAAAAAAGGTCTGACTTCAATGATCTTTGACTAAAGTTGAAATCACAAAATCTTTACAAAATTTCCTTCCAGATACTAGCTTTTGATCATAAACAAGCTTCTGTCCAAGTTTGGTACAAATCCAGGATAGTTTAAGAAAGTTATAAAATTTTTTAAAACTTTAACCACAGAATGAATGTAATGTTAACTGACAGTCCATTTATAACTAAGTCCATTTATACGTAAAATACGGATAAACAGGATTTTTTTTTTACAAATTTTTTCAAAATTTACTTCTAGATACTATCTTATGATCATAAGACGTGATACCAATATACGACCAAAAAATTTTTAATTTTTGCAGTCGTATAAAAATTTTGTTTTTTCCAAATCTGGACAAAGTGCAAAGGTACGTGTATGTTCAGACTTTGATTGTCCCTAGTGTATCTTTTTAGCTTTTAAAAGAAGTTTGTAAGAAAAAGTGTATTCTATGATCTCTTAGCAGTTGGACACACTATTTATCGACACTTAACAAAAACATCCTTATATCTATAAAATAGTAGAGCTAGGGTACACCAGATTTAACAAATAAATCTGTGAACTATCATGACTATTGCTCACTAATTATATCCCCCACTTTAAGTTTTCAGTAATCAGGAAGTTGAAGAAAAAAGAATCTGAAAACACATTACACATGTACAGTAAAGCATGTTCACATGAAACCTGATAACAAATTTCAGGAAGCTCTTATATGTACAACTACAAGAAAAATGTGACAAAAATTACATACATGGCATGTATATATATATATATATAGGTATTAGGTAAACAAGAAGTTGATGAGCATTGAATCTGAAACCGTGTTACAGGGTAAAGCATGCTTACATGGTCTGATAACAAAATTCAGGAAATTCTTATTTGCAGTTACCTAGAAAAATTATCTGTCTTAAGTCCCTATTGGTTAAAGGAGAATATTTGGTTTTAAGCGTTTATATAAATTAAGATAAGTATTCTTTTGACAAAAGTTTCAGTTAATAAACTTGATTAGCAAATATTATGTGCTAGAATCATAGTAGATAAATCTTTATAGGTAGTAAAAAGTACTGAACTGTAGTGACTAACGTACACATGACATACCCCACTTGGTATATAGATTTTAAAGAAAAGTTGTGGAATTTAACACTTGATCATAGATGAATTTGCTGAACTTGTACGTTATGTCCTTTTTGATTATATAACTCCTGACATTTTTATGTATTTAGAAAGCCTTTGCTTACAAATGTTGTGGTTTGAACTTTCCTAATGAAGGTCAATCTAGAAGAGTGATCCCGACGCAAATAATTTAAACAGTGTCATTATTTTGTTTGCATATATTCATACTGACTTTTTTTTTGAGTTCCCACTGCATTAAGGATCATGCAACTTGCAAAGTCTAAGATGTCTTGACTGTTTTGCAGGTTGAATTCTGTGGTTATGTACTGTCTTTGTGTCATTGTATCATATCTGTTCCTTTTCCAATGTAGTATAAAATAGAGGCGGAAGATACCTAGTTGACATTCAAAACTAAAGTCAAAACTAAACTGACAACGCCATGGCAAGAAACCCAAGACAACAAAAAGAAGTCCACAAATACTACATAAAAATCTAAAAACTTAGCCACACTAACCCCATCAAAAACCAGGCTGATCAAATGTGCTTTAGAAAGGTAATCAGTTACTGCTCCATTAGTGACACCAGTTTATATAAGTTGACAGAAAATACACAAGAGTGCACACCCTGAAATGTCTGGCTAGCTTATTTTTTAATCATAATTAAATAATAATAATGAGATCAAGGTCAAATGAACCCTACCAGACAGACATGTTCACCATAAAATCCTTCCATTCACCAAATATAGTTGACCTATTGCTTAAAGTACATGATAAACTGAAAAACACATGAAAAATTAACATTGACCAATGAACCATGAAATGAGGTCAAGGTCATATGAAACCTGCCCGAAAGACATGCACACCTTACAATCATTCCATACACAAATGAAATTTTTATTTTATTAAAAATGATTAATTACTGAGAAGGAAATTTATATTTTTGCTAGAATTTTATTTTTTTTGGATCGTATATTGGTTATTCTTAAATTTGTTTATTGAATAGTATTGAACTATTGTGTTGTGTGAATCCATTTCATTAGCCTAATAAATGTTTTTATTGTATTGGTTGTTTCATGTTTTTGATAGTAATTTTAATAATAACCCTAAAAATCTTTCTAAATGCCATTCTGTCTAGATTGGTCAAAGTGTTGTCTTAAAGTCGAAGAATTCAATTAATTTTTGTAACTAATTAAAATATAACTAATATTAAGAATTAACAATTATATGTAAGGAAAATTACTTTTAGAGCTATTTTCCTAATGCTTGTAGTTTAAAGGTTTTGTTGGCTTGCTTGCTTTCAATGCTTTGTTTGTATAAATGTTTGCTCAAGCATTGTAATTAATATTGACATCTGCAATCAATAGATAGGTGGGTCTTCAGCTTGTATAATGTTATTGGATGTTAAGTATTATGCAGAGTATAATGTATACAGACTGAAGCCCAGCCTATCTATAAAGTCAATGCAGTTGAACCATGACTGAAGGTACAGGGCCAAACAATCTCCATTGAAATGAGATTTGCTAATGCTAATACAACTGCATACCAACTATCATTGACCTACATGTACCACTAGTAGTTCTCCATAGAGTGACCTAATCACCAACTAATACATTGTTGATGCTGCTGCAGATGCTTGAAACAGAATACCTTAATGTGTCTCTCACTTTTTATCTCCGTTGTGAATTCACATCTGGAGCTCTGCTTTTTATACCTTTTCCACTGTCACTTAAAGCCAAACAAGTTCTGGTAAAATTTCACTTCACTATTTAAATCATTTGATGTCATAATTAAAGTGCTTGTTGCATGAGGAAATTGAAGGGAAAGTGCATGAATAGACAACTTACGAATTCATGCACTTTCCCGTAAATTTCCTATGTCACAATGCCTATGTTATAATGTCATAGTAAGAATCAATTGTTTGATGACGTCGTTTACGCCGATTGGCCCCTGTGCAGCCAGTGAAGCTCATTCACAAAACTTTAGATTGGTGTATTCGAAAGTCCTCTCTATTCTTATTTGGTAATCAGATACATCTTTTTTCACTGATCTAAAATTTGCTATGTGTTGTGTTACTTTGATTTCTAATGCAATAAATGAGTCTTGCTTTTTGAATTAACCATTCGCTTTGATTTTTGCAATGATATATATCTATTCACTTTACCCATAAAAGGAGGACCATTTATGAATGACTTTTTTATGACCCTGTTGCACTGCTTAGAAATCTGCCTCAGAAACAACTATGCCTACATATATTAAGTGCTATAATCAAGAGGGACATTTCTTATGGAAGTAGGCAGATATTTCTGAGTGTCATTTACCTGGTGTAGGGCTGTAAGACCATCAATATTCGAAGTGTTTATGTCGGCACCCTTTTTCAGAAGTTGCAAAACTTCATCACGGTCACCGCTTGAACAAGCAGCTAGGAACACACATCCATCTTGAAATTTAACTTTTCGAGGTTTCTCCTTTGGTAAATGTGAAGCTTTATTTGTCTCAGACTCTTCCCAACGCTTTAATTGATTAAATCGTCTATTTAGGGCACTGAGAGATTCGTCCGCCATGACAGCTGCAACACAATATCCAAATCCCGGAAGTTCACGTCATTTCACGTTTATGAAAAAGGGGGGTATTCAGTGGCCACAAACATGTCAAGTTTGACAGTGAAGAAACATGCCTTCTGTTCAAGATTTTTCGTTGCTTGTTGTAGATTGCAGTATTCATCTAGTGCAGAGAAAGTACAGGAACAAGGTTGCAGTGCTCTCCCATATAAGGCTTTTGTCAGGCAAACCAAATTCACGAAAATGTGAAAACTTCAATGACAAATAATTCATGTCATTTCAATATTTCGGTTTTCTATTAATAATTTGAGAAGGTAGCTACTGAAGAATATGATTTTATTAGTCATCTTACCTTTGACAATCAAAAATAAAAATTTACAGGAAATTATATGCACCTTTTTCAAGTTTATGGTTTAAACACAAAGTTTAATACCCTTGCATCTTGCATGCCTAAGGCTAAGGCCACATTTAAAAGAATGTCTGTTTCCTCTCCCCCGGGTCTACCCTTTGTAAACAGACCAGGCAGGCAGGTCCTTTTTTTTTCTCTTTTTTTTTAACTGGATGTCATAGCATGTTCATGGATGGTCTGACTTGTCCATTCGAGGCCACTTATCAGTTGTTTGTGCTCAATTTGAGTGTATTTATTTCGATTACCAAGCACTTTTCAAAATATGCACATAAAACTAGTGTAGCATTAAAGTGTATATTTACTACTTTCTTATTTGACAGTGATTAAAGCTTTTATCAATAAAATTGAGAATGGAAATGGGGAATGTGTCAAAGAGACAACAACCCGACCATAGAACAGACAACAGCAGAAGGTCACCAACAGGTCTTCAATGCAGCGAGAAATTCCCGCACCCGGAGGCGTCCTTCAGCTGGCCCCTAAACAAATATATATACTAGTTCAGTGATAATGAACGCCATACTAAACTCCAAATTGTACACAAGAAACTAAAATTAAAAATAATACAAGACTAACAAAGGCTAGAGGCTCCTGACTTGGGACAGGCGCAAAAATGCGGCGGGGTTAAACATGTTTATGAGATCTCAACCCTCCCCCTATACCTCTAGCCAATGTAGAAAAGTAAACGCATAACAATACGCACATTAAAATTCAGTTCAAGAGAAGTCCGAGTCTGATGTCAGAAGATGTAACCAAAGAAAATAAACAAAATGACAATAATACATAAATAACAACAGACTACTAGCAGTTAACTGACATGCCAGCTCCAGACTTCAATTAAACTGATTGAAAGATTATGTCTTCATCATATGAATATCAGGCACAATCCTTCCCGTTAGGGGTTTAGTATCATACCATCATAACATATATGAGAAGAACATAACCCGTGTCATGCCAATAACTGGTTTTTAAATAAATGTGTTTAGTGCCGATGCAAAGACCCTATAAGTGAATCAATATTAACGCCAAAATATGCAATCTTTAATGACCTGACAACAGTATCGTAACTATATCCCTTCTTGATAAGTCTATTTAAAGGTTTTGTTAGTTTCAGAGGTGAATACTGACATTTTTGTGCTTTATAAAGAATATTTCCATAAAAAATTGGATGTGAAATACCTGAACGTATAAGAAGTCTGCATGTTGAGCTATATTTACGAATGATGTCCTTATACCGATGATAAAATTTAGTAAATGTTTTGACTAGTTTGTGATATCGAAAACCCTGGTGTAATAATTTTTCAGTAATACATAAATTTCTCTCGTTAAAATCTAAAACATTGTTACATACACGAGCGAATCGTACAAGTTGAGATATATAAACACCGTAAGATGGTGACAAGGGAACGTCACCATCTAAAAATGGATAATTAACGATAGGAAATGAAAAATCATCTCTTTTATCATATATTTTAGTATTAAGCTTTCCGTTAATGATATAGATATCAAGATCGAGGAAAGGGCAGTGGTCATTGTTAGTATTAGCTTTATTTAAAGTAAGTTCAACAGGATAAATTTCTTTAGTATACATACTGAAGTCGTCATTATTGAGAGCCAAAATATCATCCAAATATCTAAAAGTATTATTAAATTTGTGTATCAGATGTTGTTTCGATGGGTCTTTACTGATTTTTGTCATAAATTGTAACTCATAGCAATACAAAAAAAGGTCCGCAATAAGTGGTGCACAGTTAGTCCCCATTGGAATTCCGATAACCTGACGATATACGGAATCTCCAAAGCGAACAAAAATGTTATCTAGTAAAAATTCAAGGGCATATATAGTATCAAAGCATGTCCAATTGACATAGTTTTTTTGTTTATTGCTACTAAAAAATGACCTAAAAGAGTTTGAACATATATATTCACATTCTGACTTTTTAAATGCCCATTTAATTAGGTGTGTGAATTTTTTCTTAATGAGAATGTGAGGCAATGTGGTATATAGGGTAGAAAAATCAAAACTTTGAACAGATTCAAAATCACCAATATATGCATGCAATTTATCAAGTACTTCCAACGAGTTCTTGACACTCCAAAAGTAATTAATTCCACTATTTTCGAAGGCCTTATTTGAACAATTTATTAACATATTTATATACAGTCAGGGGACTTATTGAAATAAGTGATTTTTAAATCACTTATTTAAGTAGCAAATTCGAAGTTTTGTCTCAAATTATGATTTTGTAGTTTTACAAAAATTTTAAACACATAGGTTTAGATAATATCTTTTCATTAGTAAAATTAAAAAAAAAAGAACTTTTTGCTTCTTTTAAGCAGCAAGGTTTATGCCTTTGATGCAATCATTTAGCTGCAAATTCTATTTTAGTTGAAAAAATGCTATAAAAATGGCTTTACATAATGAACTGATACTTTCTTAACAGATTTTTCCCAGCAGTGGGAGTACTTTTCCTGTAAAATTCAAGGTTTCATCTTATAGATTATGTAATAAAATTCTATTGTTCGCGATCAAAATTTCACTGTTCGGGGGTGTTGAAATTAGTGGGGGTTATTAAAATAATGATACTTAAAGAAGTGATTTTTTGGAAGGAAATTGAGGTATGATACTTAAACAAGTGATTTTTATGTCATTATCCTAGATTTAGTACAAGGTCATCACCTGACATGACCCGGTCATCCTATCAACACAGATGTTGGTTCTGATAATTTTAGCAACATAATTAGTCCCTGGATCATTAGTATTCTATATTTAAAGCCTCTATAGAATTAAATCACTTAGTCCAGTGATTAATTTGTACTACTTAAATAGGTGATTATTAAAGAAAGACAACTCTTACTTCCAACCTTTATGGACATAATGTTACTTGAATCAGTGATTTAGAAAATCACTCATTTAAGTAAGTCCCCTGACTGATATACAATGTAGTAGACTCTGGCAAATCGGACATCAAAAATGTCCCATTAGTGATTACCTGATATATTCAATTAGACGATAAATGTATATTCATTAAATATTCTGCAATAATGAGTTATGGGACCTAATCCTGAGATGTTACAAACCCTGACCACTGCTATATATATATATATATATATAAACGGGTTGGGGTGATTTTTTATCAGATACATCACTTGTTCTGTTGAGGTATGTATGGCCTCCTTTTACTTTCGGAGCACTCCATTTATTGATATTGGTATGCTGGTATTTATAGACTGTACCAGTTAGCTGGCATCCCATGCAGACTGTACAGACTATATTTAATATTACGGTGTTGTATTGCAATGGAGTGTATACTTTAGAGTTCATTAGCAAGTAACATCTATTACTTAAAAACTAAAGAAAATTAAAATGCTTAAAATATTAATAATTTTCATGTCACTTTGTATCCAATAGTAGTTTTGTAAGCCTCATGTGTAAATGGTAGCATAGGTCTTATGTTTCCCTTTTGAAGAATATCTTGTCTATTGGCTGATTACTCAATGAGTTTAGTACAGAGCAGTTAAATATAATTTCCATCCCCATGATGTTTGTGAAAAAAAAATTCTGACTTCTGGTTATGTAATGCTCATATTTGTTTTCATTTTTTTTATCCTATATTTTTGTTGAGCCTTCGACTTTTGTCGAAAAAGCGAGACATAGCTATCCTACATTCCGTTGGCGGTGGCGGCGTCCACAAATATTCATTCTGTGGTTAAAGTTTTTGAAATTTTAATAACTTTCTTAAACTATCTTGGATTTCTACCAAACTTGGACAGAAGCTTGTTTATGATCATAAGATAGTATCCAGAAGTAAATTTTGTAAAAAGAAAATTCCTGTTTTTCCGTATTTTACTTATAAATGGACTTAGTTTTTCTTCCAGTTAACATTACATACAGTCTGCAGTTAAATTTTTTAAAACATTTATTAGATTCATAAACTATCCTTGATTTTTACCAAACTTGGACAGAAGCTTCTTACAATTAAAAAATTGTATCGAGAGGAATATTTTTATTAAATTTTTTCCTCATCTCATTTTTGTTGAGCGATTAACAGCAAAAGTAGGCGAGACACTGGGTTCTGCGGAACCTTTACGATTTTTTTTTAAAATAAATCAAATGTCCTGAAATATTTATGTGAATAAATATCTACCACCCATAGTTTGTGTCTTTTGTATTATATATCTTATTTCTTTTAATAATTAAATTAATTTGGATATCTATGAAGATAAACATGATTGATAAATATTATTGCATTAAGTTTAAGTTTTCTGAAGACTGTTAATGTTTAAGTCATGGTTCGCTACGATTCTTCACATTATGTAAACAAAAGATAATGGCTACCTTGACTTGTGGTCAACAGGTCAAGCACACATTACATGATTATATCTGACAAAAGTCAGATTTCTCTTTTGTTCCTGCCAATGGGTAACACTTTTGACACGTTCTTGTGCTAAAATTTATTCGTGTAGAAGACGACAATGCGATCTTGTTGCCCATCTTTCAAGCAGACAGTTTACCCTCGATACATACTGCTAAATTGATAGATAACTCCAGAGAGTTCCGGGAAGACTTCAGTTAATATCAGAACCAATGTCGGAATGGAAAAAAATTATTTTT